CATCGACCTGCGAACTGGCTAGAGGGGAGGAAAAAAGAAGAAAAAGGGAAAAAAGGGAAAAAGAAATAACGCGCACGCGGAAAAACGGTCCTCAATCGTCATGGCTCCATGGCTCCTGCAGCCGCCGAAATATCGATCGGCTTGCAGCATAGGCAGTTGGGATGAAGGAGGGAGCGAGTGTCATCTGAGGTGCGCTCTTCATTTTTACTGATTCAAGCCACCAGTCCTCCCTGCATGTCAGAACTGAGCTAAGCAGGTACCCTATTGGTCTTGGATGCATCTGGCCAGTCGATGGCGGATTGAAGGATTCAGATACCTAACAAGGTACTCCAGTGCAACTTCAACTCCAACCTGCAATTGACCCCTACGACCATCAGTGGATAAGGAGGAAGGACCTTGTTGTCATACTGTTGTCGATGACCCCTCCTCCCTCCCCTCGCAACCAAGGTGCGGGTGCAGCGAGGAATGCGTATTTGCCATGCTCACGCCATCAACAAGAGGGGCAGATGATCTACAAGTTCCGGCCGAAGACGTGAAAGGGAGGGGAGAGTACTCGTAACAGTCCGTCCACAGACTCTAACTTACTACTGAGGACAGTACGTACCCAGCAGAGTCAGAGTTTCCAGTGTGGGGTCCGGCGACTCGAGATCCGGCCAGGCACACCTGGGGGTAATCGCGGTAGTTGGTGCGGTTGGGCACTGGCGCTGCACTGCATCTGCCCGGCCCGTGGCAATTGCGGTCTGCTCACTGTTTGTCTGATGGCGGGAGTTGACCATCCGGCCGGACACATGAACACATGTAGCTGGACTTAACTTAAGTTTAGGTGACTGCCTAATTGCTCAAAAAGGAGAATGAGCAATGGCCAGTGGATCCATAAGCAGGAGTCGAAAAGGTAACGATCATGAGAATTACTGAGCAGTTGGTTAACTATGAGTATGTCGGAATTGGTAACCGAGGAAGGAAATCGACGAATGACGACAGAGATCCCCCGTATCATGTGACCACACCCAGCATACCAAGTACGTACATACACAGTAGTAAGTAGTTCATTTCGGTGCAGAAGGGGGTGGTTACTCAAACTCAGACTATGTGGAATATGAGCGACTGATGGTATCTCCACTTGTCCTGACTTGATCGAAAATTGACTTCCAAGACATCTAAGATTCCTGTAAACCCTCCAGGTACCCAGTAGAGTTCTGGCCTGCGCTTCAATGCAAGCTTTCCCCGCATTGTGCGCATAGTCGATGCCTCAGGCACCAATGCTGCTTAGTCCTGTTTAGTCCTGCTGGCCCTCTGCGCTAGTACAGCTGCTTCAGCCTCACGCTCCCCTCAGCAATCTCAATCCATGTCTGATGATGCCACACATGACTTTCGGCTTCTAGGCTCTGGTTTGAACTACATAGCTCTTGAACGAAGGGAACGCTCGACTGAATGGCTGCTGAATACGCAATCTAGTCGACCAATGGAGAATGTCGAGGTATGCCCATTGAAGCGTGTGCATCGACACCCTGGGTCGACAGGCAGTAGTCCGCCTCCCGATACAGATCCGACTCAAGAGCACTGAAATGGCGACAATCCCTAGGATTCACCGTCATCATGACTACACAATCGCGTGGATCTCTGCACTTCCCTTGGAGATGGCGGCTGCAGCCGCAATGCTTGACGAGAGACATCCGGACTTGCCAACTGATCTGAGTGACAATAATAGCTATATCTTCGGCAGCATACACGGGCATAATGTTGTCATTGTATGCCTTCCCGCCGGGGTATATGGCACAACATCAGCGGCAGTCATCGCCAGTCAGGTTCAATTTACCTTCAGATCGATTCGGTTCGGCTTGATGGTCGGCATCGGAGGTGCAGCTCCATCACAAGGCGACATCCGGCTTGGCGATGTGGTGGTCAGCCAGCCAACGAGGGACTATGGCGGGATCGTGCAGTACGACTACGGAAAGACTTTAAGCAACAACCGCTTTGAAAGAACCGGCATGCTTAACAAACCACCGTCGGTACTTTTGACTGCGGTCTCCAAATTGCAGGCGGAGCACATGGTGAGACCAAGCAATATTCCCACCATATTGTCTGAGATGATATGCAGGTATCCGAAAATGAAAGACAAATTCACCTACCGTGGTGCAGAGCAAGATGTGCTGTTTGAGCCTGACTATGATCATGAAGACTCTGGGATAAGCTGCGCGAACTGTGATTTCGGGAGAAGGAAAAGCCGGCCCGATCGAGGTTATGATGTCCCCGTGGTTCATTACGGCCTTATTGCTTCCGCAAACCAGGTAATGAAGAATGGTCGTATAAGAGATCAATTAGCAAACGAATTTGGTATTCTCTGCTTCGAGATGGAAGCAGCTGGTTTGATGGACAACTTCCCTTGCTTGGTGATCCGAGGGATCTGTGACTATGCAGACTCTCATAAAAACAAGCAGTGGCAAGAGTATGCAGCTGCCACGGCGGCAGCATATACCAAAGAGCTTCTGTCCATGATTCATACCAAGCAAGTGGTTGACATGCCATCACCTCATGTGGATTCGGAGCTGGCTCAACATGGTCTCATGACTCCAAACGGGTCGGAAACATCTGCAGGCGAAATAAGCAAGAAAAGTCCACACATGGACATCGTACAGCTACTAGAGCGGATCTCGAACTATGACCATGATAAGGTTCACCGAAGACTTGCCTACAAGCGCCTTCCTGGAACAACTCAGTGGTTCTTGAACCATGCGACATTCAAAGCATGGCTTACAAGGTTGGATCAGTCCAGCCTCTGGTGTTCGGGGAAAATTGGTTCAGGTAAAACTATCATCGCGGCTTCCGTCGTTGAGGCTGTCAAGTATCGCGCACTTGAGAACTCCAGTTGCCATTGTCCTACAGTATTTTTCTATTGTGAGAACGAGCATTCTGGCTCGTTACAGGCTTCCTACATTCTTGCCAGTCTAATCAAGCAATTAGCTCAGCTCTTGTACGAATCGCATCAGGTCTTTCCGCCAGATGTCGCTCATGAGCTGGAGCGTTTTTTTGGAAGAGACCGAAGGGTACCAGACTATGATGACCTGCAAGAAATCTTCAACCTTCTGTTCTCATACATGCCAAACACAATCTACGTTCTTGACGGACTCGATGCACTAGAACAGCAAGAATGCCAGAAAATGTTGCTGCTAATTCGAGCAACCTTCAGTTCTGCCAGCCCACCCAATGGATCGAAGATCATGTTGGTGAGCAGGAATCACGTACCAGGCTACGTGAACATTGCTACATTCATGCCGTGGGCTCTCCGAATCTCAACATTCAATCACGTTACCCAGGATATCGAATTCTATATCAAAGCCAGTATTGATGACAAGTCTATGCTTAGAAAGCTTACCAGTGACTGTTCCTTACTGGAAGAGATCAAACGCGTGCTTCTCACTGAGGCCTCAGGAATGTATGTCGGAAACCCTACAAAATCGACGTATGTAAACTGACTCGAGCAGGTTTCTATGGGTCTACCTTATTCTCGAAATCTTGTGGTCGACATGCTTCACCGATGCAGAGGTGCGCTCCGCCTTGCGTCGGCTTCCTAAGGGTTTGAAGGAAACGTATAGGCTGTGTACTCAGCGGATTGCGTCTGATCCCAGGGCTGCGAAGGTCCTTAAATGGGTCAGCTTTGCTACCAGACCATTGCATATCGATGAACTGAAGGAAGCAGTAGCCTTTGATCTCCATGATACTCGCTGGGATCACGAGAAAGTACCCCAGGACGAATTTGTGCTCGGCTGCTGCGCTAATCTCGTGGTTCAGGACCCTACTGATGGCTGTGTTCGCTTCGCGCACTCGTCGGTCAAAAAGTTCCTTCTGAGTCATCGAGCCGACCATGAGACCAGATATCTAGAGAGCGAGGCGCGAGGAAATCTCCAATGTGGGGAGTTCTGTGTTGCTTATCTCTCTTTCTCAAACTTTAGCTTACAGGTTGAGACGCAAGGACGGGATCACAACCCAACAGGCTTGGCAGTAGTCTCGCTAGCTTTGCTTGCCGGTGAAGCGATGAAGTCCTCCTTGTTTTCTCTTTTTCGTGCGCCGAAGATTCAGAAGGCTTCGATCAAACTACCCATTCGCCCGGTCCGTACGGACTCACCTGGGGAGCAATTCAAATTCCTCGATTACGCTGTATCTAATTGGGCATTGCAGACGAGAGACATAACACCTAAGTCTCCGGTGTGGGAAAGCTTCACGCAGCTTGCGACATGTTTCAATGAAACTTGGAATTTTCATCCCTGGGTGGCGGGTGGACGCTCACGCCACTCGTTTCTCCATGGCCTGCTTGGGTGGGCTGTCAGAGAACAACATATTCCTCTTCTTCGGATCGTTATGTCGTATAAAGAGGAGCTCGCCAAGATATGCAACCTTCCCCTTATTGGGGAGAGCCTTCCAGCTCTGCACTTTGCGTCAAGGTTCGGTTTTACTTCGATTGTGAGGCGCTTGCTGAATTTATGCGAAATTAACTTGCCTGATCTTGAAGGCTATACACCACTCCATCACGCGGCTGAGAAGGGCCACCCGGCTGTGGTGTCAACGCTTCTGAGAGAGAAGAGTATTGCCATCAATAGCAAATCTCGAATACAGGCTACACCCCTCTGGTTGGCAGCGCGGAACGGACACTTAGATGTGTTGAAGGTATTAATCAGACAGGGTGGAGACACCGAGGCAAGAAGTATCGACGGCCAAGCACCAATCTCCATAGCGAGGCAAAATAAGCATGAGAAAGTGGTAAACTTACTTTACGGGAAAGGGTCTACGATTCTGTTTGTCAGGAAGTCATTGGCCGAGATCGCTTCTGAATGGGAGCTTGAACATCTGACCGATGATGACGCAATTCGGAAGTTCGAGCGCGAATTCGAGAACGAGATTACCTTACTAGGAGAGGCCGAGTTAGCTGATAGGGTCGGACAGCCACGCAAATCCGGCCGTCTACCGAACGGAGAGCTCTCCCCTTCATTCTTATTGTTCAATGTGGAGCTTCCAAATGTGGATCGGCTCATGCTGAGTCTCCTCACGTTGAAATGAATTGTGGGTGGTGATTACTCCTCTTTCACAAAGCACCAGCAAGAAAGCGTACGTTTAACGAAAGAGTCCTTCGAGACGCTTCAAACATGGGTCGCCCAAGTCTTGAGACCTTCTAATCAATCAATGGTCTTGATCTTGTTGATTGTGATAAAACATCTGAGCCAAGATTTAGACACACCGCAGGCTGTGAAACTGAGAGAGAACCGGATTTGGAAAACAAACTTGGAGGAGAAAGCGTGCGCGCCCCTCTTGAAGCGATTTCGGAAACATGAAGCAGAATTGCGAAAAGCGCTGAATGTCCGTAAAAAGATTGACATCACTGAGTTGGTCCGAGGCCAGGTCGCTCTAGAATCGCTGCAACAACTTTCATCAAGTCACCAGCACCTGTTCCAACTGAACTATCTCGGGTATGTGCTCTACAAAGCTGGAGCAGCCGCCTATACCAACAGTTATGGTTGGCCGGGGCTGACCGATTCCGTTCTCGTCCTGTGTATGGAAAGTCTGCCGGTGTTTCTGGGTGTCGTGTCTGGCGAAATCGCCGTGTCTGCGGGGTTTAGGCAGCTTGCCGATGTCAGGAATAGGTTGCTTGTTGCGGGCTCCGGTGCAGCCGAGTCGTTTCGGGACCGTAGTCATTTTGTCCAGCAGGGACCATCATAGAGTGGATGGGATGGCCTGCATACGACTCTAGTTCATGTTATAAGGGAGGTGTTAGTATTGAAGAAATGGGTGACTGCTGTTCTCAGGTACGCACAATCCAGAGGGTTACATGAATACTCTTCTATCGCGGGTGGCTGCCAGCATCAGCCGAAATATATACAACCATGGCTCACCTTATTTCCCCTTCGTGATCAAAATCCAACACAACAGATTGATTCTCTGCGCAGTCGGGTCGAGGTAACTTCATTCTTATATCTAATGAAGTTTCACGTTCCTGATATCAGCATTATAGATACTATAGACACCATAGACTATACTCAAGTGCGGCGTATCTCCTCTCAGCCCGCTTCCCATTTTCGTACCCACCACCACATGGTATTCGCTCGATTTAATCTTCATATTTATAGACACAGTAAACTGTGCTTTCGGAGAGGGAGATTGGCCCGGAGTAAATACAAGTAAGATGATCTTCAGTTAACCCCCACGAGGCCGGGCGGTCGGGCCATAAACAAACAAACCGACCGCCAGCCGGACTTCGCCTACTAAAACTCTCCCACCACCACCACCACTGCTCAATATTGTACCGGCAATGCCCCTTTCCACAACAGACTTTACCAGCAAATCCCTGCAAGTGAAGTGTCGATCTAACGCAATCTCCCCAGTTTGGCCCCCAGAGGCTCAAACACTGGTTCATCATGAGCCACTCTGGCCAAAAGGCACCGTTTCCGCGTGGGGGCCACCTCCTAATGCAGGGGGTCGAGCCAGAGCTCCACGGTAACTTTTCCGCATATTGACTTCACTGAACGAGAACAAGGGCTAACAATTTTCTAGGGTCGTTGATACTGCATGCATGACTTCTAGGAAGCAAGAAGAGAATTCGGGCAACTCAAAAGGGCACTGACGAGAACGGTGCCGCTGCACGATTAACCCATCTATGCCGCAGATAAGCAGGAACCCGTTCGGCCCGCCAGCTGATATCATGTAATTTATGTGCTACTCAGCCTCATGTCAACTTTTCTTGGTGGCAGGATCGTCGCCCGGCTAAGACACAGCCATGGCCGTCGGACCGTGAGATACCCTGCCCACCACGACTCAATCGCTCCACGGCTCCATCGCGGTTGTCATTATTCGCATCAGATCGCTGAGCGGCAATCATGCTCATTTCACTCTCATACAGACCGTCCGGGATAATGTTCAAGTCTGAGTGAAAAGGTCTGGGCAATGCCGCTGTTAATAGAAGCGAATTGCTGGTGGGGCGAGGGTGCATGGATCCGAGCCAAGCATTTCCTTAGCCTATCCCATGGATTAGAATGCTTGACCTGTGTTGGTATACCCCATCCATCCTACCGTGACGGCAAGCAGGGGCCTTGAAACAACTCTAAGATTGCTGTGGGAAGGGTCCTTTCCTTTCAGCTGGACGATGCGGTCTTTTCGCTCTGTCAGCACCAGGCACAATCGTGCGCCAAGAAAGGTACACGATCTCTGTATGGCACCGCGCAAGCCAGACAGCTGCTCTGCATCCCAAATTGGAGAAACACGAGGATTCAAGGTCTATGTGCTTGGGGGATTGCGAGCGAAGGCTGCTATGATGGGTCTCAGCGAAGCCCTATGCAGCCGCCCCCAACTTGGCTAGGAACGAGAGCTACCGCCGGTTGGCTCCCCCATGACTGCGCCCCTTGGGAGCTGTATTTTGCAATCTGAGTCTAGAATATTACTCTTTGCGAACAGACGATCGTCTAATGAAAGGAGCAAGGTGAGCCGGGCTGACATGAGACCACCAAAAGATCCTGAACGGATGAACTTGGGGGCCAACAGTGTGGCCTGGTTTAAAAGACCAGAAGATGTCGGCGGATTCAGAGATACTCACGCAAATCATCGCCTTCTCTCTCTCAGTCACTCTTTCTTGTCCACCGCGACAGTCGTTCTTTTTCCATCACGATAGTGATACACGCTCTTTCGGGATTGTCCCTCTTCATTCGTTCATTTCGACTATCGACCTGGTTGTCATAATCAAAATGGTTAAACTTCTCCAAAACGGTCTGGCATCGGGCCTCATGGCCTACGCCTTGTACCAGCAAGCTCTGGCTGTGGAATTGGCCGAGATCGACTCGTACGAGACGACGACCACCAACACCGAGGTGAAGATCGCGGTGTCGGGGTCCACTACTACAACTTCTACCTCTTCCTTGGATCTCCAGGACCAGCACTCATTCTACTGGGGTGGTAAGCTTGAGAGATTATGATCTTGCGTGTCCAAAGGCTAATACGAATCAACTAGGCGGCGAGACCGACATCCTGGGAAACTTCACGGTGGGTATGCTGGAGGACTATGAGAGTATCCTCGCCATGGAAGCGTTCAAGGATCTGGTGCAGAACGTCACCTGCACCAACGGCACCAGCGCCAGCGTGACCGTTGCATTCCAGGACTCGACCTCATACTCTTATGCCAAGAACGCCTGGAACTGGGTCAACGACGACGATGCTCACTATGTCATGCTGGTGGCCGGTGCTGGCCAATGTGGCTGGAACACCATCCGACAGCCGTTCATCATGACTGGGGCCAGCTTCCGCGACAACGTCAACACTGCCCGGTTCACCGGCAACGTGACCGAGTGGGAGGATTCCGTGCGCAACTACGCCATCAAGATCGGCAAGCCCACCACGGACTCGCAGATTGCCATTGCGAAACGCGGCGTCACCAAGAGAAAGCGCGGTGAAAGCACCAGCGACAAGACCATCGACATCGCCAAGGACTTCTCCTTCAGTGACAAATCCCTGTTCGACAAGGACGGCGTCTCGCTGTCGGCGGGATGCTCGACCTGCAAGACCGAGGGAGAGTTCGATCTGGTCTTCGAGTACACCAGCGGTGCCAGCGGTCTGTGGAACGTCATCACCGGCAGCGAGAAGGCCACAGCCACCTTGTCGCCCAAGGGCGTCTCCGCGTACATCGAGCCGCAGGTCAAGCTGGGCGGAAACCTGACCAAGTCGGAGGCGGACGAAGTCGACTTGGTCACGATCCCCATTGACGGCATCAGCATCGCCAAGATCGCCACGATCGGCCCCATGGTCAAAGTCGCCCTCGGGTGGTCGATCGGCCCGATTGACGGAGAAGCCACCATTGGCATGGGGGTGGAGATCGATCTCAAGGACTCCGCCACCGCGGAGTTGACCTTCGACGAGGGCTCCAAGAACGCCGTCAGCTTCACGCAGAGCGGCTGGTCTCCCACCGTCACCACCACGGACATCTCCCTCGATGCCAAGCTGGAGGCCAACGTCGAGATCTACGGCAAGGTGTCCGTGGAGCTGGAGCTCGAGATCTTCAGTAAGTCAGTCCTGCCAGGAAGACCCTTCAAAGCTAACGCGCAAAAGGCTACGGCTGGGAGGCCGGGATCTACATGCAGCCCTACGTCGGTGCCGACCTGGCCCTTGAGGCTTGTGAGTACCCCTGTCCAACAGATAGTGTGCTGGTGCTAACTGAATCCCAGCCAACAAAGCCGCCTGCTCCAAGGACGGCTCCGAGTACCACTACGCGGTCGAGATTACTCCGTCCGCGGGTGTCAACCTCGTTGCCGACGTCGCGAGCGCAAGCGACGAAGCGAACCCGATCAGCACCTGGAACATCGCGGTAAGTGTGCCTGATGCCTGACAGAGAGGTAACCTGCCTTACTGATAATCCCATCAAGTCCATCGCCACCACGCTATCCGAGCAGTGCTTCGGCTTCGACAAGATCACCTCCACCACGACCACGACGACAACCACCAAGTCCACGACGGAGAGCAGCTCGAAGACGACCGGCTCCAGCTCCAGCTCCAAGCAGACCGGCTCCTCCTCCCACGTCGCCAGCTCCTCGGCCAGCTCCAAGGCCACCTCCAAGGCGCACCCCAGCAGCGGCTCGGCCCACGCCACGTCCACCGCGGCCGCGTCCAAGACCTCCGCCCACGCGTCCAGCCACACCCCCACCATCACCGCCTCTCCCTCGCACAAGGCCCGCCGCAACATCATCGGTGGTCACGGCCGCCGCCGACAGTATTAAGTGTGGAGGGGTTGACTCGGGAAGATAGGAGGTGATTGGATTCGGTTTATGTGACGATACTAATTTCGCTTCTCTGCCGCTTTTGGTGGCATGTATATTTTGGCTTATAGATGATGCACGTTATGTATACGAGTTGAATAGTTAGTCGGTTTTGTATGTTGTGTCAGAATCGACCTATGTATGCAGTAAATTTTTTATCAGGCCAACCTCTATTGAAGTGACCCTTTATCAGACTAAACCTCTCTCAAAGCAACCCCTCATGTTAGACATGAAACCAGTTGATGTAACTGTTACCATCCTTGATCGCAGTTGCCCACCCAATACTGAGTAAAAAGCACAATGGTCAGTAATTGCCACTGGCCCACAAAAGGACTTCCATGACTCGTAGTGGCAGTTATCAGTATTCCCTACTAGAACTACTTTAAGCATGAACATAACCCCAGTTGCATCCCTCTGTAACCACACTAGGGCGGACGGGATCACGTGCAGCCGGTGGTTTCCCGCCGCCGCCGAGCGTCGGGCAAGACGGCCGCTCTCACTTCCTCCTCACCTCACCAACAACACCCCATACCCAAAGCGATGGCATCCCATCAACTTGCCATCGCGAAGGCCTCCTTCTCCGCGGGGCTGCTGCGCCCCGACCCAACCTCTGTGCCCCGCGACGCCATCACCGCATTCCACACCTCGCTCGACCGGGCGCTGTCGCAATGCACCCCGGCAAACATCCAGGTTTGAGCCGCCGTCGCCGCCTCTCGCCCTTGCTTAACCACCTCAAGACATACTAAATCACGATGTTTTCTCCCGCTCATTCTAGGCCTGCAAGACCTGGCTCATCGACCACCAAGTGGTCTCCTCGTCCAATCGCGTCGGCGTGTGGGCCAAGTACCTGGTCGCGCTGTCGGCCTCATTTGAAGATGCCGCGGCCGCGGCCGCGGCACCACCACCACCACCACCACCACCGTCCAAAAAAACCTCGGCGAAACGTAAACGCCTCCACATCCTCTACCTCCTGAACGACCTCTTCCACCACACCAAATACCACCTCCCGACGACCGCCGCCTTCGCGACGCTGACGGGCGCCCTGCAGCCGCACGTCGTGGACCTCCTCGGCGCCGCCGCCGCCTACTCCCGCGAGCAGCACCCGAAACACCACCGCCGGCTGGACGAGCTCCTCGACATCTGGGGCCAGAACGGCTACTACGCGGCCGACTACGTGCACAAGCTCCGCGAGGTCGTGCAGAACGCGGCGCTGTCCGGCCCCGTCAAGACCTCGCTGATCGTCGAGGAGAGCCTCGCCGTCGCCGAGAAGGAGCTTTCCTCGTTGCAGCAACACCAGAAGACCGTGCCGTTTGTCATGCCGGCCACGCATGGCGATCCCGCCACCCCGTGGTATGACCTGCCCGCCGGCAATCTGATCCCGCATATCATCCCGGACGAGGCGGTGCCGCTGCGCGGGGACACCATCCGGCCGTTGCAGTTTCTGGCGGGCCCCGCCGACGCGAAGTTGGTGGCCGCGTTGAAGCGGTTTCTGGGCGAGGTGGACGGGATCTACGCGGCGGCCGCGGACGAGGCGGTCGAGCACGAGGAGGACGAGGTCGTGGATCTGGATGAGCTGGGCCAGCTCGTCGTGCGCGAGAGCTTGAGTGGCGAGATCGTCAAGGGCGAGACGTATTATGGCTGGTCGAGGGGGTTCTGTCAGCAGATGAAGAAGCGGGCCAAGAAGGGGAGGGAGGAGCGGAGTCGCAGTCGCAGCCGCAGCCGCAGCAGGAGCAGGAGCACACGCAGTCGCAGTCGCAGTCGGGGCTCGTATCACAAGCGACGCTACAGCGAGAGCGAGAGCGAGGCGGGCGGACGATGGAGAGGCGACAGCCGGTCGCCGCGCAGACGACGCTACGACTCGCGGCCCCGGTCCCGGTCCACGAGGTCGCGATCTCCCCCTCCGCGTGGAGGAGCGTGGCAGCAGCCGAGGGAGCGGTCCCGGTCGTATTCTCCCCAGCCGGCGCCGGCGGGCTATCGTGCTCCTGCCTCGAATCCGTACGCCAATGCCCCCCCTCCCCCCCCTCCGTCGCTCCTTCCGCCCACACCACATGCCCTTCCGCCCGCTCCTCCCCATCCATCCATGGGCTATCCCCCGCCGCCGCCTTCCTACCAGGCCGCACTCCCCCCGGGTCTCCCCCACGCTCCTCCTCCGCCTCCCCCAAACTACCAGGGCCCCTGGCCGCCCCCGCCGCCCCCAATGCCCTTCCCGCACCCGCAACAGCCCTCCCACTTCCCACCGCCATATCAACAGGGCCCCCCCGGCCAGCCCCCGGCAGCCGCGCAATACCACCACCCGCCGGGCCAGTACCAACCACAGCCAGGCCACGGCTCCTACGCCGCCCAGCAGATGCCCCCGGGCTCATACCACTTCCCCCCGCCCCACCCATCGCACGCCCACGCCCACGGCCACGGTCGGGGCTGGCAGCAGTACCCACGCGGTCGCTAGGTAGTCGACAGTCCATAGAGCGGTAGATAGAGACTATTCACACCCAATGTACCCAGCCAACAAAGAATCCATTACTGTTCAAATAACATACATATAACCATGGAAAACAATTAACCCAAACCACCCACAACCCCACACCCACCACACATCTCATGCTAGAGTAGAGTATACCGTCCCGGGGGAGAACCCCCGGACCCCCCTTCCTTTCAAACTCCCTGGCACCCTCAACCATATCCATAGAATTGTAAAGCATTCCCGGGGGAGAACCCCCGGACCCCCCTTTCTTTCAAACTTCCTGGTACCCCTCAAGCCCGAGTGTTGGAGGTATAAAGCATATCCCAAGTACTTGGGTCATTAATTTCCCATCCCGATAATGCTAATTAGGCCCCCCGCCCAACCCAACAACACTCCCCTTCCGCCCAAACACCCCCGCCCCCCCTTTTAGCAGCTCGCCCAGCCCCAGATCCAGCTCCGGCAACGCAGGGACAGGCAACGCAGGCAGGCCCCGCGCCCTCTTCGCCGGCGCCGGCGACGCACTCGGCAACGGAGCGGGCGAAGAAGCAGCAGCAGCAGCAGCAGCGTCCGCAGCGTCATCGTCCGCCTTGTCGACCATGGCCTGGTCCCAGGTCGTGCAGGCTGTTTTGAGGGTCTGTTGGGATGTTGTTTTCTATGCATCACATCTGTTAGCTTGGGGTGGGGGGACTGGAAACTAGAACACCAGGGTGGGTTGGGGATAGGAACGGAGGGGCTACGTACCCCGGGGACGCCCTCGCAGCACATGACGGAGTCGAAGCAGCTGGCGTTTGGGTCGGTGTTGGCCATTCCGGTGCCTGTTCCATTGATTCCATTTCGTGTTAGTATACACTTTTACCCCTAGTACAAAGAATTGAGGGTACCAGGGAGCTGAAAATCAACTCTTTCCTGTTACTCTCCCCGAGTGTACAGGACTGTAGGTACCCAGGGAGTTGGAAAAAAGGGGGGTCCGGGGTTCTCCCCCGGGACGGTAAATCCCCCAGTTCCTTTCTTAGGGTCGCGGGTGGGGGTTCAGGGGGGTGGGTGGGGATGGGTAACGTACACTCCAAAGCGAGGAGACTGGAGACGTCGACGCCGGACAGGTAGGGGACGAGCTCGCCGAGGGGCTGCAGGACGGAGTCGGCGACGGCCTCGATGCTCTGGCAGCACTGCTTGGAGGGGCGGCCGGTGGGGCAGGTCTGGGTGGTGCCGGGGTTCTGGGTGGCGTTGGGGTTGGGGATGAGGGCGATGGCGGTGGCTAGGGCTGAGGGGGGGTCTTCGTCTTTGTTGTTGTTGCTGTTGTTGTCGGTGTCGTCGGGGTGGGAGTTGTTTTTGGGGCTGGGGTTGGATTTGTCTGTGGTGGTGGTTGGGTTGGGGTTATCTGTGGATTTGTTCTTGTCGTCCTCGTCCTCGGAGCTGGGGCTGGGGTCGATGTCTTGTGCTTCTGCTTCTGCTTCTGGGCTGGTGGTGCTGGTGGTATGGTCCGGTGTTGCGGGCTTGGTTCTGGTGCTGGTGCGTGTGCTGGTCGGGGCAGAATGTGTCTGGTGGGTTTGGGTTTGCGTCTGCGGCCGCATGTTCTGCAGGACGTGGTTCTTGACGGCTTCGCCTTGGTCTTGGGCTTGGGCGTGGCCCTGGCCTTGACCCTCACCCTGGTCCTGGGTCTGGGTTAACGCATCCGTGTCCGGGTCATCGTGGAGTTGCGCTGAGTGAGGCGTGAAGGGAATGGCGAGCGCGAGCGGCGTGATGAGCAGCAGGGTGGAGAGTTTCATGGTTCTGTTTTTTGTCGTTTATGTTTTCGATTATGGGGTTATTAGGGTATGTAAAGAAGTGCTCGTGTTAGTCAAAAGAGTGTATAGGGTAGGAATTCAGAGAACCACTAAAGGATTGAATGGAGTTGGTCGACAGGGTTCTGGTCTGGCGGGCTGGGCGTGGGCGTCGGGGTTTTCAAGGGGTGATGGTGGCGTTATTTGTATAAGACATGGCTTGTTGGTTGTCTAGCTTCGCAATGTAGGTAGTCAGGGCTGTCGAATTCCTCCCTTGGTGGACTGGCTTGGGCCGGCAGGGACGCGACTAGGTTTGTTAGGGTTGTTGTTTGGAATGTGCTGGTGTGGAATGTTGGGCCTTGGGTTAAAACCTGGAAGAGCGGGAGAGGATCAGGCGGTTGTCAGTCGATTCATGGTCGGGATGGTTAGCTGGTGCTGGAATTTAACATTAATTATATGGTGACTGCAAGAAAGGGGGTGGATGCAAGGACAGACTGCCACCCAGATTCATATCACTAAAAATTGGACTGTAGGACCAGTCCTAACTGCAAAAACATACAAGATAACTACAAGTCTCACGCCGACCGAGTCAACTACCCAATAACAAATCATTCGACACTGCATTCACTGCTGCAGCATCTTTATCTCAAAGAGCGACAATGGTCGGAGCAGATGCCCCGAATAAACACAACGTGTCTATCCAGGAATGCAAAACAAATGCAAACCTCAGTGAGACAACAACCATCTCTGCAGCGAGATACATGACATACAGAAAAGTCCACTAAGTCGATAGTCCGATGGTAAATCAAGTCCATTCGATTCGAGGTATCAATCAAAAACAAAAACAAAAACACGGGTCATAATTGTCAAGCCTCAAGCTCGAGAAATCGCCCTTCTATCGTGCGCAATGCGTGTCGCTCGGCATTGCTTCGCTTCGCTTCTAAATCAAGGCGTTCTCGCTAATCCAGTAATTCGAAACGCCTGGGAGGTCCCAGCAGCCACTGGACCCCCAAAGCACACCAACTCAAACTCCTTTTCATTAAATGTTCACTCGTGTAGGCTGGTTGCACCAAACTTAAGTCAAGGCTCAGCCTCAACCTGTTCATGCTGGTCCCAGCCTAGACGAGTCCGCGCCGGCCCCGCGGCGCGACGATTAGGCATGAGGAGACCCCGCCGAAGCGGAAGTCGGTCCAGCCGCTTGACGGGCCAGCACGCCGCTGGTCGAGGTGCCGCTGTTGCCACTGGTCTGACTGCTGCGACTGCTCCGGCTCGGGAACGAGCCCTTGTCATCGTCGAACTCGGCGAAGTCCGCCATCCGGCGTTGCGTGTATTCGAGCATGACTCGGTTGTAGTCCTCCACCGAGCTATGGGGGTCGGTGGTCCGGTGACTGTGGATGCGGTAGTCGCCGGGAGGACGGCAGGCCTCGCCTCCAGTGGGAGGCATCGAGTGGTACTGATCTTCATGCATCGAGGTGGCCATGTTATCTTGTCTATCGCCATCAGATTAGCGGTACGTCCTCACTATCACACCGTACACTTCTACAATGCGTGTCGTTTGACCATCGACGTCACGTCATTCCGACCACGCAAAGGAGCAAACACATACAGAAAGGGCATGTTGTGGATAGAACCGAATGCTGAGCCTCACCTTTGGCAGACCGTAGCGGAAGTAGGCTTAGATAGGAAATGTAGAATACAATAGACAAAGAAGATTCGTGAAAGCCCAGGGAGGACTAGTTCATCTCAATAGTGGATAGATTTGTCCAAGGTGCGAGGACAGGGCACAATATATGCGGCGGGAAACACAATCGGACCGAATGAGATCACAACAACAATCATGACGGTGGTCCATCAATGTGCATGCCGTGACAGTAGGTTCCAAACTGTCGTCTGCATGATGGCCCACATCAAAACGGAAGTACCCACCAACCCATGCCCACGGATGAGGTTATGCTCTCGCCCTTGAGGGGGCGTATGACATCACGACAGCCAATGAGGAGGCGCGCCTAGCATACACTGAGATTCAGCAAAAAAAAAAACAAAAAAAATTCGGCGCCCCTCCCCCAGCAAAGTCCCTTAATTCATCGGTACGGGCTTGCGGCGGCGGCGACTAGGGCGGCGTCCGTCCTACATCAGAGAGGATGCTGATCGGAAATAACCGTACTCCACTGGCTCGAGGGTCGGCGTTCCCCCCGGATGGACCACGGTCCACCCCCTCGAGGAGCAGAATGAGGTCACTGGTGGAATGCGACTGGCTCATCTGCGATACATGGCGTTGTGAGATCGCCAGCTAACTTTTCTGGTGGTCGCTGCTGCGGCGCACCGTCCCTGCAGATCGACGCTGCAACGGGGGGGCGGGAAGGGTGGCTGCCCGTAAGCGATTTGACGACATGAGCGTCAAGGTGTGAGCTCGTAGGAGTCGAATGTTTGACAGCGGGCTGGTATGGCCAGGGGAATGAAGAAAGATTTGGAACACGATGTGTCATAGCCGGAGCTAGCACAGAAGATGGGGGCGATCAGAATTCACTAGATTCACTAGATTCACTAGTGTATGCAGCGGGGGTGAGGCCATCCATCCCCCGAAGACCAAGCGCTGTCGGTCGTCTGCAGGCAAGAATGGCCTCCCGATCGGGGGGTGGGCGCTGGGTGTGCTGGGTGTGCTGGGTGTGCTGGGGAAGGATCCCAGTTGGGGAGTGATCAACAGTTCGAAGAATCAGTGATGATGGGCTCTGAACTCATGGGTGAGATTTCGAAGAGTTCGATTGCTTCTGATTCGTCCCTGGGCACGGATGTCTCCAGCAAAGGCCCGTGGATGGATTCTGCTAGTGAGAGAGGTAGAGTCGGAAGCTTGTAGTGGAAATGGATGAAGACTGCAACTGCAAAAGGTGGATAGTCGGGAAGATGCCGGCGTCAGTGCCTGAGGCCGCCATCCTGACGTCACGGGCTGTGCCACCGAGTCATGGATGGAGTCGCATTGCCTTCATAGTTGTTCCTCTACACGACCATCCCAGTTGCTGGAGAAACCCATCAAAACAACCCGTTATGCTGCATTCAATTTTCATCAGCAAAGACACGGTTTTCTTTTTCTTCTCGATTGAATGCGACGAGAGTGAGGGCAGGGAAGCAAGCCCAACACTGATCATGGGCGCCGTGGGCGCCATGGGCGGGGGGCTTGCATGGAACTATTTTTCCGGCGCAGTGGCTAGTCGCCCACTACGTAGTAGTCAGTAGTTACTCTCAACGACAGGAATATCTCCATCTACTCATGCATAAACAATGGCTCAACGGACGATGCAACTAATACGACACAGCACAGCAATGCAATGGCCATACTGCTATGTAACTGCATTTTGTCACCGATAGACCTGCGCATAACTTATCCGCTTGATTGCCCACACGTTGTCGATCCACCTCACAGCAAACGAGGTGGATCGATCTCTCCCCTTCCCCCAATGGCTCCAACTCCACGACCTCCAACCACCACGTCCAAAAGGCCAACTGGCCTCGGAGTACACGCGAGTGCAATCGTGGTTCTTTGCTCACGGTCCACGTCGCTCATGTTTCAGTGATCCAGGCAACCGAGACCCGAGGCTTTCACGGAATAGCATCAGATCCCTACGGTGGATCGAACCCCTGCCCTAACATCCCCTCGGAGCTTGCATCGTACCAACCAAAACATACTTCAGATGGCGTAAAGCATCGACGACAGTAGCACGCGCTTCGACATGCTGCAGATACAGTGACTTTCCATGGACAGACATCAAACCGACGATCATTCACTTCAAAAACCAAGTCCCCCGAGCCACTGGCATGTTCTAGAACCGCTAACGGTTTCGCGCTGCTTGCCATTGCCCTATGAAGTCAGCGGAAAGAAGCTGCCAGGAGCACTTCTTCCCTACCATCCAGAAACAAACTGCAAAAGGTCCAAGTTCCAAGACCCATAACCACGATAACCAGACAGTAAGTAAGAGTAGCATCTTTACATCCCATTATTGGTGAGTGAATCATTGGTTGTGGGCGGGAAACCGCCGAAGGGGGCGATGGTTGAGGCTGGCAGGAAGGGCTACGCAGGCGCTCGCCCTCACCCTCACCCATCAAGATGATATCACCCCATTTGCCTCCCCTCCCCGACCAGGTCCAGATCACCATCACCATCACCAACTTCACTTCATCGTCATTTTTCAATTCCCCTTCTCACAGCAACGAGGAGCAATTTTATTTGTTGCAACCGCTCGTTACTCAATAACCACAACCTCTCAACCCTCAAACGTCATACCCCATAGTCCCAAGAACTCGTGGAACCGGCACCCCCTTCCATTCGCATTCGCCCCATGATGCGACTTGCGCAACACACGACACCCGGTAACTGACCCCTGGTCAATGCAGTGCGGCTCTTCCAACTTTCTTTCAATTTAGGGGCAGGTAGGTAGTCTCGGCCGGGGAGGTTTCGCCCTCCCACCTGCAAGAACCCATGACGCCACGCTTATCGGCTCCGAATCACGTTGAGGCCAGGCCACTGTTCAAACCCTTTGATATTGCTTATACTCCAATACAATACAAATAAGGTCAGGGATGTGGTTGACCTTCTCTTCTCCCGCTGTTTTGCCATCGACCTTTGGCATCGACATCGCAGTCCCGATCTCCCTTTGGCATGCATACCCTATATTTCCATGTTCAACAAGTCATGCAATGACGAGAAGGCAAACCACTGTAGCTAGGACGAGTAGATATGCTACCGCCATCAGTCAATTGACTAGCAGGTGAGACTGCAAAGATGTGGACTGTACCTGGACCAAAACAGACAGAGGCGGGCTGGGCTATAATTATGACGGAGATGGCGAGGAACATCGTCGTCATCGTCGTCGCCGTCGCCGTCGCCGTCGCCGTCTTGTCCTGTCACGAAGGATATGGATGCAGGCCCCGTCATGTTGTCCTCATACTACAGTCGCAGTCCCTCTGCAGGGCTTTTTGACCCGAATCAAGAGTGAGGCAGATATGGTCTGCCCTTCCAACCTAGTAGACACTATAGCTCGATATTATCCCAGTGGACGACTACGAGTTCCCACTTTCTCTGATAATGAATTCTATTTTGCATAGAACAAGAAGTGCTATTGTCCCAGAGACACGCGTTAGCACCTTGTCCAACACATTCAAAGCAGCAACAGTCATAAACATGCACCCATCCACCGCCTCACTCCTCACCCACACCCTCAGACCTCCCCTCCTGATACCCCAACCCGAACCCAAACCCAGAGGAAGAAACAACTATACCCAGCCGTGCTTTGCCTTACCTTGCCTGCTTCCTCCATTCAACCCAGATACCCAGCTCCCCCAACCGATCCTATGTCTTTGGACCCCCTGATCCCTGACCCATGACGTCCATTCCCCGAAGGGTAGGAAACAATCAATCCCAGAAATGACGACGACCCGCGATGGCGAATAAGCAAGAACCGGCAGGCGAAAATTAGCCACAACGCTCGCCTCCCCCTCCTCCTCCTCCTCCTCCTCCTTCTCTTCCCTAAGCCTACTACCCTGGGAGGTACACACATCACCCTGCCCTGCCCTGCCCTGCCCTGTTTCCCCATTCCTTCCCATTCATCCGCACAAGACAATCCAGAACAACCATACAAGCAGCCAACCAACCAAACCATCACCCATATCCTTAAATCTACCCAACCCAACTCAAAGACAGAGAAGCCAGCAAGTAATCCAGCAGACAGACCCCACATGGCGAGCCCCAATCAACCCAAACCCCTCGGACCCAGTTAGTTAGTAACCTGCCACTTGCAACGCAGGGCCTTATACCTACTACCCTACCCACTTCGTCAGATCAGGATCTGTGAAAAGAAAAGCCAAGGCTGTAGCAATCGAAAGGTAGGTAAGAAAAGCGTAGGCTGTAGCAATCGAAAGGTAGGTAAGAGTGGTCGAACGAGTCAAAAACCCACTTGTCTGCTTCAGATAATCCCATCCAGCCATCCATCCATCCACATCCTAAGAAGCCAGTATCGTTCCATCCATCCACATCCCAAGAAAAGTAACGTATGTGCATAGTAAATGTATACCCTGAACCCAAAACCCCACCGAAGAAACAAACCAAGACCAAAACCAAGAAGAAGCATAACACCCACTTACCGATACACTGAAGAGAATGAACCTGGAAGCAGGATATGAATGTTCCGCATGACCAAGAAATTTCAATTCAATTGGGGAACTGCCTGAGTTCGAACGGGTGATAATATGAGTAGGATGTTTTAGGGTAGGGTAGGTTAGGAGGAACGCCACGGTACACCCCAGCAGCGCAAGCAACAACACAAAAACTCTACACGAGTAATCCGAACCCATTCAATCCTCTTCTGTCCATAACAACAACAAACAACAAAGAGTTTATCAAATATACTTTGGAACATCATCAAATCCAGATCAAACATACCCTAAACCCAGCATCATCATCATGTTAGCACACACATTACCCAGTAAGCACCACACACACCCAAACAAGAACACCAGGAAGACAAATCGGGGAAAAACGTACCCTTCCGCGCCCCCTGGAAAAAGAACCGCACCACAAACACCTGCAGCGCGGCCATGGACACCATCATCAGGCCCTCGATGACACTAAAATTGAAGATCCGGCGCTCCGTGCTGCGCACCGTGCTGAAGTTGCGGTTCTCGCGCGTCCGGAAGTACTTCTGGTTGCGCGAGATGGTCGACAGCTGCGCCGACAGCTTGAAGATCGACTCCTCCAGCGCCGAGGCTTGCTCGGGGCTGGCGCCCTGCCGGGAGGGGAGCTGCGCGCGTTCCTCGTTTTCGACCTGCCACCCCGTAAGTTAGTCGTTGCTTGGATGCGATCGTGGGAATTGGGGGCCATAGGTAGGGGTGTGTATTGGTGAAGAAGAAGAAACGATGCACCGCATCACTGTAGCGTTTCCCCAAATCCGAACACGTTTAAACGGAAAACGTACCGCGATCTCGAAATCCACCATCTTCTCCGCGAACGTCGACATCTCATTGTTGAAGCAGAACCGGTACTCGCCGATGCTCTGCGCCGTGAACACAAAGTCGCCCTGACGTTCCTTGGTCCCCTCCAGGATCACCTTGTCGCCGGGCCCGATCACCGAGTAGTCGACATCGAAGGAGCCGCCGGATTGGACCTATCCCCAATATCAAACTATCAGTACACGCTTCCAAAATGGCCAAAAAAAAAGCTCACCGCAAAGTAGAAAGCGAGCTTGACGTTCTTCTGGTCCACATAGCTGTGGAAACAGGCCTTCTCGTTGGCCTCGAGGCGGTAGGTCAGCGCGGTGGCCGCCACCGAGGAGATCAAGGTGGCCCACAGGCCGAGGACGAGGGCTGCGAAGCGCATGGTGAATGCAGAGGATAAAGTGTCGACTTTCTGTCGCGGAGAGACCGACGGAACGAAGACAGACGACAGACAACAGACAACAGACAACAGACGGAGGAAGTTCTGGCCAGCTGTGACTTTGGCCCGCGTGCATGTTTGATTGTGTTTGCACCCCTTACCGCGCCCGCCCCCTTAGACTAGCCCTCCCAACCGCGGGTGGACCCTTAACCTAATTCATACGGTACCTCAACTACTACAGTCACTACTACAGTACACACCTCGGATGTTAAATGCACACAATTGTCAATTAAGTCATACATAACTCATCTCGCGCGAAAGAGCCACCAGGCAATGGCTGCTATAACTGCTAGGCCCGCCCTCTACAAAGAACTAGTTGTAGACAACAAGACCGCCACCGCACATCCAGTCCGTAGCATATAACATAAAGACTTACTGCTCTCTTCGCAACCAGGTCTGCTGGTCAGGCATCTGATCGCAAGTCTGTCCAGCAATATCGGGCGAATACAAACACAACCGTCAAAACAAGCCCTATATCTATCGAATGAAGAATGACTCGCTCCGGCTCCAAAAGCTGCGGTTCTTATTTACATGGTCAAGACCCAGAAGGTCGTCCGAGTCGCCGATGATGTCGGAAAGGATATCATCTGCAAGTCCTCATTAGCCAGGGCCCTCCGTGATCCAGAAAACAATCACTCACCGTCTTCAAGGTATTGTACTTTGGTGTACATGTTCTGAGGCACAGCAAACTTGATTTTCTCAAACTGCTTGCCCTTGATCCCCGTTCGTTTCGATAGGCGTTCCTTGGTCTGCTTGAAGATTTCGCCCTGGAAGGTGTGAGCACGTGGTAGTCGCAGAGACAGAGTCAAACTTACAGGCTTCATGACAAACTTGAAGGGCACACCATGCGGTCGGCTGACGTCACGATCGAAGTTGAACACATTAATCGTCCGCTCACCCTCTTGCATGCTGAGCTCCTCTTCGGGGTATTTCTCGGCATAGAGCGTCACGAATTCGTTGATGCCCGCAATCTTTGAGTCAGGCTGGAACTCCCGGTAGATCTTGCCGCCATGGGACTCATATACCCGGATGTCTGCATTGTCTTCCAGGTTGGCCTTCTTCTGCACACCGGCAATGACGTCGGCAATGGTCCCATCCCGGGGAACAAGGACCTCCACAACTTGCTGTACAGACGGTTAGTCATCGTCTTGACATTCAACCAACTCGTTCAGACGTACCTCTTTCGTGATACCTTCCGGAAGCCACGTGACCTTGAGACAAGTCTTCGACTCGTAATCGCTCAGGCTTGTTTCCAGCACCTCGTAATACAGGGCGTCCTGGCGATGCATGCTGTAGCCATAGGTGGACATTTGCCCACTCAGGATGTGGTACAGAGTTTGGTTGTTCTGGTTAGGGTTTCGCTTAATGAACTGTTTGGGCTTGCCGGTGCTGGCGAGGACCGGCGCAAAGCGAATGTGCGTGGGCTCCACATTCAGATGCTCGCCGACCTTCTTCGAAAACTGATCATAGGTCATCTTCCGACTCAGAGTGAGGTTGAACTCTTCGCCCTCCTCCGACTTGAGCGGAGCAAAAGTAACGGTGATCTTGTTCAGTAGGTAGTCGTAAAACTGCTTCGCATCGGTGTACAGGGCGGTCGCCGGCAATTCAGACTCCTTGATCTGCTTCTGGAAGGTGATAATGTCACCATCCTGAATCTCCGACTGCTGGAAGGTTTGCTTCGGCTTCATGACATCAATCATATTATGCTTGATCTCCTCGTATAGCATAAATTCAGTGCCGGCGGGCCAGCCCATGCGTTCGAGAATGACGGGAGCAAGCTCGCTCACTTTTTGCGTCCTGCGGACATAAACGGGGCCCACGCCGGTGAGGGTTTGCGAGGGAGCATCGAAGTGCTTGAGGAAGACCAGTATCGATTCTTTGCCATCAGGCCAAGCCACGGTTCCGTCGGCCGATGGCTTGCCAACCTCCATGTACACCTTGAAGGGATTCCCCTTGGTGCTGAAACGGTTGTAGGCGTCCTCAAGAGTCATTTTGGGATCCGGTATGACTTGGTCAGGGCGGGTGGTCTTGTTCTGGCGGTTCACCATGACCCAGAAGCGGATGTGGCTTGGATTGAGGCCCCTCTCTTCGGCAAGCTGCTCTGCAAATTCGCCGACCTTCTGGGCCCGTAGTGCCTTGTACTGCGTCGGGACGGCAGGATCGCTGGCGGGCAAGTCATTGCTGGTCAAATCAAATCCGTGATGAGACTGGAAAGATTCCTGCGTCAAGACTCCGACGTTGATGTACAGGTGGGCCTCCTCCCGCTCTTTCTTGCGACGAAGCTGCTCGGCCCGGTCCTCTACGAGACGCTTTTCTGTCGCGATGTTAGTGAGGCAATCGCCCAGGGCAGTTGATTGACGTACCGATATGAGAAGGGACATCCTCCTTGGTGATGGGCACAAGCACATCGTCCAGTCTGGTCTTACGGATGTAGACCAGCATGTAGGCGTTCATCGAGCGTTTCGTGGACAAGCCGCGAGTGTATGGTTGTCGGACTCCGGCCGCTCCGTTGGTCAGCTCATATTCGCCTCCGTAGTTCTCCTCAAGCACCTCTTTGTCCGTGGCCCGCGTCACGCGGTCATCGTCGAATTTGTACCAGAATCCGTCCTTGGTCGGCTTGAGGAAAGCGTAATAGTGGCCGGCATTGAGATCACCGCTGTGAACCAGCACACCGTGCAGCTCGTAAATCCAGGGCTCGGATTTGTCGGCATCGTTTGAAAGGTAGGGGGTGGCATCAAACTCCATAGGAAAGGCGTGACGGTCGTTAATCTTCATCATAGCATCGCGGTTGATGTCGTACTCGAAGCGCTTCAGATGAAGGTGCAAGACCGGGGGGAAGCTCTCGAAGATGACACCCTTCTTGGCATCCTGTAGACCATACGGCTGACCCGCATCGTACTTGTTCTCCCCTTCGAGGGTCTCGACTTGGATGTAGTCTTTGAAACTGTCATCGAGAGTCTTGTTGCCGCGGACGTTCAGCTGGATATCCCAGAAATCTTCCACACGCGACGACTCGTAGTCAACGTCGATGCAGGAGATGTAGGTCTTGGTTTTGCCCACGAAGAGTTCGGGTAGCGCCTTCTCGGCCGGGGTGCCTTTCATCCTCTCCTCCAGTCTCTCCATGAGCTTCCGCGACAATTCCTGGACATCCTGCTGTTCGAAGATCTGCCTCGATTCCCATCCAAAAGATGCGGTCAGCTCCGTGGTGGACACCGAAGTCTCGCTGGTTTGGAGGTTGAAGAACAACCTCTGGAGCGTCCAAGCGCTATTGTCGCGCGAGGCTTCCGCCTCGGTTGGGATCTGGTAAACGGCCTTCCAAGCGGTCAGTCCGAAGCGGTGGCAACAACAGGCGGCGAGGACAGCGTACCTTGCGGAAGCGGTTGGTGAAATACAGAGACTGCAGAAGCGAATTGAGGTAGCATGTAGCACCTTGGTTCTTCAGACCCACCAGGCCAGTCTCCTTCTTCGAGTCGTAACTAGACACGGGGTTAGCGATGCGACTTCAGCGACTCGCCTTCGAACTGCATACTTCTGGAAGTTGTGCCATAAGACACCCGTCGGGTCCTTAACCACGCGCACGTAGGCTGTAATCTTGGCTTCGTCGTTCTGCACGAGGGGCACGCCACGGCCTTCCCACGGTCGGCTGAACAGCCGGTGCAGTTCGCAGAATCTGGTGAAGCCCCAATCTCCCTCCTCCGCATGGAACCGATGGGTCGCGACTATATCCCAATTAGTCCGAGAGAGCGAGCTCGTTGAGGAGGCAGAGGCGGCGTACCGTGATGAACGTAGATGGAGGGATCGTTCACATTGGACAGGACGAGTGCAAACTGCACACAGGCGTACCAGTTGGCCGGCGGTTCGCCGTCCCAAGCATGCTCCAGGTAAAAGGAGGCATGCTCCACATGGTTTCCGTAGGGGAAGAACAGGATTCGCCTGCGGACAACAGCAAGTCAGAGTCGCTCTCAAGGGCGGTGATATTCCAACCAAGGGATCCGTCGGGGCACCCACCAAGGGAAGCCCGCGCACTGGAAGACCGGGCCGTGCTCCTTCTTCTTCAACTTCCGCCAATCCTGGATATGCCATGTGTGATAGGTCTCATCTTCGGTTTCCAGATCCGGATCTTTCGGGAAAATCCGAGCCATCATTGCTGCATCTGGTTGCGGAGACAGGATCAGTTTCTCGGACGTGGAGGGGAGGGCTGCAGTTGTGCGGCGGCGAGCCGTCCCACGGCGGGGACTTTTGGGAAGTCGGGCCAAGTCCATCGCAAGACGGCAGGATGCGCACAACAACGATGGGGAGGTGTTATATGGGCCTTACGGTCATCTGCGGAGGGCTCCGACCCCGGTTCGTCCGATCCGGAGCGGGAGACGACGACATCGTCGGTTCGATCCTGGTGATACTGCTCATATTCGTCGACGAGCATATCACTGTCGGCGGCCTGGAGACGTCGGGGAAAGGTTACAGGATCAGTACCAGTGGTTTTTGCGAGGGGAGAGATGGGATGGAAAGGTGGTTAAGATCTCCGCGAAAAGTGGTTGTGAGGCGAGGGTGATTTGAGACCAGAACTTACGTTGTCCATGTGAGGTAAAAAGTGCGATCCACGCACTGAGATAGCGGGTCACTCTTTCTCGCGGGCGATTACAAGGGAAGGAGATAACCCGTTGGGGTAAGGGCAGGGAGAATGGGGGGAAGTGAACAGTGAATAAAGGGAATTGAAGAAATGGGGGGGGGAGGTCGGAAAATTGGGCGAGCCAGTCCACAACTGGGGGTGAAGAATGAATGAATAAAGATTGACCGGGAAGTGAGAGGAGGCAGAGGAAGAAGCAGAAACAGAAGCTGATCCGTCTGGGCTGGAGCCGACTTGGAGGCAGTCCACAGGCAGTCCACAGGCAGTGGGATTTGAAGCTAGTGGCGGAGTTGCCAAAACCCAATAATAACGGCCATGCGGGACACTGCACCAGCTCTTTATTATTATTAAGATGATCTTCTTTTTTTTTTGTCTTTCGACTGGGTTCGCAGATGAATCCAGTGAGTGGGAGTGTGTGTGGTTCGATGGACACTGGATACCTTACTCCGTAGTCAGTTACTGTAGCAGCAATGACAAAGATCTTTTACGGTCGCAGGCGCCAATTTCCTTGCTTGCTACTGAATCAGTGTTTGTTCTCTTCGTTCCATCCTAGTGTATGTTTCACTGGACTTTTGGTGCTAGAGATGCATAATGACGGTGTCTCAGCAGCCGGGTTTAAGTTACTGGATTTACTTAACCTTTCATAGTAGGCGGCAAGGCAACGGTAGGTACTAGGTAGCACTGCAGTGATGGGACAATCCTCGACCGGTCTCTTCATCTTATCTTTCACTCACTCTATTTTCTTCTTGCTGCTGTCATTGCATTCCGTAGACCTACCAAGGAGAATCACTCATAGTTCGAGGAGACAACGTGGATGGGAAAACCGGCTAGACGAGCCACATACCGAACCGTGATATCACCGCCTTTTCTGCAATGCTGAGTAGTTCAGATCCGAGGCAGGCTGCAAGGTCGATGTATGGATGAGGCTGAGAGAGAGGATGGAGATGAATGGTCTGGATTCAAGAGACAAGGCATTGTACCTGTCCTTATAAACTCTCCCTCTTTTCTTCTTGCATATTAGGTATTTATCATGCTCTATCCTCAAGTACAGAGTACAGTACTATCTATCCCTTCCACCGACCTGTCGCCTGATCCCTCAGGCATCATCAGGCAACTTCAGGCAACAATCCACTCCGGGCAGATATGACGATAGAAGGCTCGCCTCTCGTGGGCGTTTGTTTCTTCAGCAATCACGCCCCCCATTAGCGTCATGCTCGACCGGATTTCCATCCATTGATCTGTGAGTCAATCCATCGGGAAACAGTCTATTGCCGAACAAGGCACGTCACATGCCAGTCACGTCGGCCTGCGAGCTTCCTCTCTTCTTTTTTTTTTTTGGCTGCTCTCACCGCCCGGTCGAGGAAACCGGCCGCATTTGCCATCCTTCAAGGAAACCATACACTATATAAATGAGCTGATCATCATACCATGGTGAATTGGGCCATTCGCTGTGGGCCCTTCGATCCTCGCCTCTGACAACCCGCCATGTATGAGAGGGTTTGTCCGCTGCTGAATACCCGTGGATCGTCTGACTCCAGCAGACCACCGCTCCTGTTGTGTTGTATCACCACGAGTACTGAGTAACTCAATGCCACCCCCTCAATTGACCGACCCTTCTCCGTTCTCAGCCGCCGCAATATGAGCCCGAGCCATCCAGCCCGATGCTGGCGTGCCCTCCGCCGGAGCTGTTTGTCAGCTCCGCGGTTCTACTCTACTAGCTACCAAGCCTACAGTCCCCCACCCTGGCGACCTGTCACAGCATTGGACGAGTATGTGATCTTCCCTTCGATCGCATCGCATCCACCTCGGGGCTAATCTCATTCTCTTGCAGATGGGTTGAGCGCGACATCCGTCCCATCAGTCTACGACAGTTGACTTTCTTCGGACGGACATTGACCGAATCCCGCCTCATCAGCTCGGCCAACTACGTGCGAACGGAGCTGCCCACTCGGTTAGTACTGTACCTTGCTTAGAACTTAAGCTTTCTGTCCGCGGGGTGGATATCCGACTAACTCTCGCCTCGTACACCCAGACTTGCACATCGTCTCCGCGACATCCAACGACTACCATATGTGGTGGTTGCGAACCCGCATCTTTCGCTGGTGTACGAGCTCTACTACAAAGCCTTTGAACGATTTCGGGCCATCCCGGAAATTAAGACCCTCGATGACAACGACCACTTTTGCGAGATCCTCCGCAAAACCCTGCAGGAGCATCTGGTGGTGATCCCGAAACTGGCCATGGGCGTTTTGGAGTGCCGCGAGCTGGTGACGTCAGAAGTCCTGGATCATTTCATGAACACCCTGTTGAGAGCGGTAGGCGCCCCCAAAGTTGACTAGACGGACCAAGCTGATGGTCTCGTCCTAGAGAATCTCTCGTCGAGTCATTGCGGAGCAGCATCTTGCATTGACCGAGACCTTCAATTCACCGTGGCACTTCCCCGGCTCGCAGGATCGCTCGGACCTCAACGCCGACTACGTGGGCGAGGTGTTCCTCAAGTGCAATGCCAAGGAGGTGGTGGAGCGCTGCGGGAAGCTGGCGCAGGATATGATGCGGCAGACGTCGGGATCGGACAAGATCCCCGAGATCACGGTGCAGGGGCATCTGGAAGCCACCTTCCCGTACATGCTCAGCCATCTGGAGTATATCATTGGCGAGCTACTGCGCAACTCCATCCAGGCCGTGAGTGAAAAGTACCACGGTCGGGCGGAGAAGCCGCCGCCGATCGAGGTGCTCATCTGCGAGGCGCCGCAGCATGTGATCATGCGCGTCTCCGACCAAGGGGGCGGCATCCCGCGGGAAGTGCTGCCGTACCTGTGGTCGTTCAACAAGGGGCCGCACAGCAAGTCGCATCTCCGCAATCTGGGCAAGGTTCCGGCGATGGCGGCCACACTGCAGGAACTCAGCGTGCCGACGGAGAGGAAGCACGCGGACAAGGAGACGTTCCGGGAGAGTTCGCTGGACTCGCTGACCTCGCGGCGGCCGGATCTGCGGCTGGGGATCGGACTGCCGATGAGCCGGGTGTACGCGGAGTACTGGGCGGGGAGCCTGGAGCTGCACAGCCTGGAGGGGTATGGGGTGGATGCATTCCTGCAGATCTCGAAGCTGGGCAATCAAAACGAGCAGGTGACGACGCGAGCATCGATTGATGCGGTATAGGATGAGTTGTTGTTTTAGTCTGGTCAGGGCTGCAGGTGGAGCCGTCATACAAGTATAAGATATGATACATACATAGTACATAGGTACAGTATATTACTGCATGTTAACATGAGAACTAAATTAGCCATTGGCACAATCAAACAATCAATCAACCCATGTACAACAACTCATCACTGATTGAGTACTCGATAAAAGCATCAGCCACAATGGCCCCACCTATACTTAATCCACGCGCGAGGTACCCCGGGAGATCCATCCACTAACAACCGTCAAATCACACATGAAAAGTAAAGTCAGTGAATCAATCCCAGCCAAGCCCTCCAGCAGGTCAACCTCACATCGATTCCGTCCCCATGACGTCAAACCAGGGATGTTGTCCCCTTGCCGGTAGTGCCATCACATACCAATCAACCCTGTCAGTGACCTCCATCTATACTTTCCCCTATAAACAGTACCTAGTAACTATTGTACTACGAGTATCCCGTCCCAGTGACGTCGACAGCCATCTACTTCTTGCCTTACGACAGGGCTAGCCAGCTAGCCCCAAAAAACAAAAAAACCACAAAGACAAAAAAAAGAAATGAAGCGCCTCAACTCTGCCCAAGACGACAACATCCCCGTCTATATATTCCTGCTCCTGTTCCTGATCCTGGGGTTGAGTTTTCTGGGAACGTATCTCGAGACGGTCAGCAGCAGCAGCAGCAGCAGCACCAACACCAACACCAACACCAAACGAGTGAAATCAACCGTGCGCTTTCGTGCTTGACTACAGTACACCCACCACACAACAACACCTAGGTCCAATCCAGCCAAAAATGGCCGGAACATGCTCCATGCTCTGCCTCATCCTCATCACCATCTTCAGTACGCATCAAAGCCCAATCAAGACCCCAACCCAAGCAACAACTAACACACTACAAAAGTCCCCCCCCTCGGCGTCTTCCTGATCTCCGGCTGCAGCGCCGATTTCTTCATTAACCTGTTGCTCACGCTTCTGGGGTGAGTTTCCCCCCTTTCAACCCAAACCCCAGCACAAGAAAGCAGGAATCCCATCCCCATCCCAACATGACAACCACGAACACTGCATAAACATATCACCATCCCCACAACCACCAACACTACATAAACATACCACCATCACCACAACCACGAACACTACATGCACCTGCCAAACTCAAACTAAATCTCAATCTCACCAGCTACCTACCCGGCCACATCCACGCCTTCTACCTGGAGTACGTCTACTACCGGAATTCCGATGCGGTGGCGCCGCGCCGCGCGCCGGGGGTGTATTCGGAGCGGATTCAGCGGGGGGCGCATCACCACCACCATCAGCAGCAGCAGCAGCAGCAGCAGGCGGGGTATGGGACGATTTAAGCTGGGGCCGGGGTTGCGGAGCGGTGGGTGGTAGTTGGACTAGGGTAGTCTGGTCTGGTGGATGGTGGTAGGCATTATGCCTGAAGTTTTGTTTTTTGTTTTTTGTGTTTTTTTTTTTTTGTTCTTGGGCGAATCGCTAGCGACGAGTTGAGGAAATTGGGTGGGGAGGATATGATCCATGATATGATTAGCGCTATCCTTATCCTTATACTTGCACTGTTACTGTTACTGTTACTCTTACTGTTACCGACGAAGCCAGGATGCGATATAACCTAATGAATCCTTTTATTGAATCCGAGAACCCTTCAAAACAAACCCAACCCTAAACAGCAGTCTTCTTCCCCTGCCCCTGCTGCGCAGCAGCAGCAGCACCACCAGCCCTCCTCAAAGCAGGCAACCCAAACGCATCACTAACCCCCACCCCGCCCTGGGTGCGCGGCACGCTCCCGGACCCCGGACTCCACCACAGCGCCCCGACCCAAGGCTGCACATTCCACCCCACGGCCAAGGTGACATTCTGGCGCTCCGCCATCCTGCCCGACACATCCCCGATCTGGTACTTGGCCTTCTGGTCGCGCAGCCTCAGGATGCCTGGTTCGGCGTGGGCCTTCGCCTTCGTGGCGGGAGGTTTCCTGCTCCCCGCCTTGCTTTTACTCTTGGTCTTGCTCTTGGGACTGGGAGCAAAGAACCGCTCCTTCAGCGCGTCGAACGAGTAGGCCGATTGCGGGGCGGAGATGATGGTGTCCCAGACGACGGCGTGAGAGACAGCGGAGGAGGATGTGTTGGTCGGGTCGGAGGGGTAGGAGGCGTAGACGTAGACGAAGAGTTGTTTGGTGTTCCAGTTGAAGAGCGGGGTTAGATCTTTTTCTCGGGGTTTAGTCCACCGGAACTGAAACTCGAGATCGAAGGGCAGGGGTAAGGTAAGGTAAGGTAAGCAACGCACCAGCATCCAGATCAAAGCGCAGCTGCGCGTACTCTTCCTTCCGGGTGGAGTAGTAATGCGGACGGCCTTTGGTTCTGTGGGCAAGTTGGTTAGCTTCGCTGTTGCTTGTTCAGGGTGAAGCTGTCCGCGGAGGTAAATGGAATGGAGGTGTGCTAGCTAGCTAGCTAGCTAGCTAGGTATATCCCCAGTTTGGATAGGGTCAGACATACACCTTGACATCCCGCAGCTTGACCTGCGACGTGACCCCGTCCGTCGGAAACAGCAGCACGGAGAGCGCGGCCAGCCCGGCGACGAAGAGCGCGACGGTGGTGAAGAAGCCGAAGACGGCTTGGGCGCGGTTGAGGGTCGAGTGCATTGTTCTCCGGCGAGCATTAATGATGTAAAAAGAGGACAGTTCCCTATAAGGGAGGAAGACAACAATCCGAGTGGGATTGCTGGTTGCCGAGAGGCGATAGTGTTGTTGTCGATGACAACGACAATAAAGCCACCTGGGCCTTTTCTCCACGGGAGCGGAGCTCGGAGATTGTGGCTGGTGAGCAGGGGATCGCGGCTGAATGGGGTTTAGTGAGGAGGTTACTGGGCAGATTACGGTTAGACTCGTGGCTTATCGATAAGGTTGTTTTGTATGAGGAGACTGGCCGGGTATCTGGAGAGCACTATCTCAGCTAGTAACTCACCCCTCCTTCCGTTCCATCTGCACGTCCATTGACATCTACACAGGGTAGAATACCTTCAAGTATTGTGCTTACACACTCTCCCTCAGATCATAATCAATCCAAATCCGAATAGTCACCTCCCACCGAACTCAAAACAAACACTTAATACTCCTTATCAGCTGTATACACCACACAACATAAACAAGCAGCCCTCCACCACCACCATTACCAACAGTACCTACCTAGTACAACCCAAAATGGGCGACCACACCCTCTTCTTCTACGGTACGTCCACCCCCCACCCCCTACCCCAGCACCCCAACTAACCCCCATAATCCCCATACCATGACAAGACTAATCAAGCACAAGGAACCCTAATGTCCCCCCAAATCCTGCACCGAGTAATCCACGGCCGCGCCACACCGGAACCCTGGCAACGAGCGTACCTCACCATCCGGCCCGCGGTCCTCCCCAACTACCGGCGGCACCGGGTGCGGCACGCCGACTATCCGGGGATTGTAGCCGTGGCTGTGGGCTCTGGCTCTGGCTCTGGGGGAGGGTCGTCAGGCGGGGGCATAGGGGTAGGGGAGGGGGAGGAAGGCGTGGCAGCAGCAGCACTTCCCAGGGACGCGGGTAAAGCTGGAACTGACGCAGATGCAAGCTCCGCCTCGGTGCTGGGGACGTTGGTGACCGGGTTGACGGAGGGGGATGTTTATCGGTTGGATTTGTTTGAGGGGAATGAATATACCAAGGTCAAGGTCAAGGTTAAGGTTGGGGTTAAGGGGAAGGGGGAGGGGCACGGGGCTAATGGGGTTGGGGATGAGGAGGAGGATGTACGGGTGGGGTTGGAGGGGTTGGAGGGCACTGCTACTGCACCTGACGGGGCAGAAGCAGAAGCAGAAGCAGAAGCAGAAGTCGAGGCGCTGACGTATGTCTGGACGGCCGGGAGGGAGCGGTTGGAGGATGCCGAGTGGGATTTCGAGGCCTTCAAGAGGGATAAGATGGCTTGGTGGGTCGAGGCGGATGAGCGGGATTGGTGACACTCCAGATTTTACGAGTAGACCTTGTAGAGAAGTCGATCTATCTGTGTCTTCTGTTCGAACCATAATCATAAGTCATGTACATTGAAACAAACCCCCACCCCCACATCGCACGCAAATGCAAGCAAGCTTGGTATCTGGTATCTATGCTACTGCTAAATGTATCCCACAATGTCCCGAACGCCAGAGAGATCGAAATGCAATATCAAAACAACAAAAGGGAAATTCCAGATATATGCTAATCAGTAACATGCACTGAGCATTTCTTAGACGGACTGTCTCTGACAAGCAGGCCTAAGTTCCGACGCCATCCGCAACACGCAGTCATCATTTCTTAGACGGACTGTCTTTGACAAGCAACGACTTCGAAGGTGTCCCGGGAACCTGGGTCTCAACAACCGTATCTGGCACAGCCCCACCGTCTTTGTTACCCATCTTACTATCCGACTCCGTGGCCGCGGCAGACAGATGCAGCGGTGTATACCTCTTGCTGACCTCCGACCTCACCTTGGACGGCGATGGAACCGGGGTTACTGGTCGCGTGGTCTCCGACTTCGCCTTCAAGGATGCAGCCGGCTCCTGACTGTCCGGAACTTCGATAACTTCCTGACGAGTCGGGTGCGGACCAGACGGTCCCGTCTCGTCCTTCCTAGATGTCACTAGACGAACTTCGTCTGCCGCCTCCCGTTCTTCGTGATCATTCACGCCCGCCGCCTCATCCTTCTGTTCGCTAACTTGAACATCATCCTTCGAGACCGCAGCTTTCGTCGGTGACTCTGGATCTGGTCGTTGCTCAGGCGCCCGAGACGGGGACTGCATAGTCTGGTTCCCGGTCGCTTTCATCGGCGACTCCGTCTCCACCCCACGCTGCGCTTCCGGCGATGCCCAAGGAGACCCTAACAAATAACAGATCGGCTTGCGATCCGCCATGGTCTCCTTGGCACTACTTTCCTGTTTGCTCATCTGCTCCTGTTCATCATACAGCGCGTCGAGAAACTTGCGCAGTCTTTTGCGGAGATGTCCCGACTTGAGCGGTGGCCAGTCGCCGTCCTCCTTCTGGAGTATCTTCCGGATGAACGTGTCCGGGTCCTGCACGAATTTCTCCAAGTACGCCAGTAGATACAACCCGCAGTCGGAGTAGTTGGGCTGCAGCGGAATCTTCTGAGCCGTGATGCCTCGAATGAGCTTCGTGTTGATCTCGACGCCTTTCTTGGATTTCGCCTCCTCGTACAGGTAATCGCGCAGGATTCGGGAGGTAGGACTGCGAGTCACGCCTAACGAGTCGAAGGTGATGATGGTGGGTTGGTTGACGTCGGCTTTGCTCGTCCGCTTCGTCGCCTGTTTTCGCGATGCCTTGGCAGCATCCGAGGCCTTGACGGCCTCTTGCGAACAAGCTGTCTGCGACGACGGCTGCTCCGCCTGAGTTTTGGGGAAGGCCTGCACAGGAATAGACGAAACCTCCTCGCGATCGGGCCACTCCTCCACCGGCGTCCCCTCCTTGGAAGCGTTCTTGGGGGGTTCATCGGCCAAGGTCATCGAAGCCAGCGAATGGCGAGTCTGTTCTTCCTTCGCAGGCTCGGCATCGGGAGCTATCGACGCCCCTTGTGCAGTGCGAGGAACCTCGGGCGGAGGAGTTTCCGGTATCTCTTGGACCTGACTGTCCAACTGAGACGATGACTGCACCTGGCTGGACAGTGGCTCATCGTAGACTTGCGGCTCGGCAAGGTCCTGCAGATTCGGTAAATTGCATATGATGGCAACATACCAATGGGCATGTTCGTTGATGGGCACGACGACGAAATCGTGGTTGAAGATGTCAACGTTCCTGGTCCATTTCTGCACGCCGTCGTAGTTGATGCCTTTCTTCCCCCGTGGCACATTCATGAGAGTGTCATAGAAAAACGAATTGAAGAAATATACTCTCTTGGCCACATCTTCGTTCGTTCGACTGAGGTGTTCCTGCAAAAAGCGGATGTAGAACTCAATGAGATTGTCGTTCAGGAACTCGTCATTTTTGCGAAGTCGGTCACGGTCTTGCATGTTGACCTCGGCCTTTTTCTTCCCGAATCGGGGGTAAACAAGGGGTCTAATGAAAAGTCAGAATTACCTCATGGTGACAGCAGATGATTACATACTTATGCCACTTTTTCACAGGTCCATCGGACTGTGACTGGGTTGACTGGTCCGCTTCATCGTCGTCATCACTTCAGGTAGTCAGTGGACCAGTTGCCAGAACAACAGGGACGGAGTAAGGCTCACCTCACGATGGTGGTCGACGGAAGGCGACGTAACATGGCTCTAGTCTGACGATTGGACGCTGGAAGTGTCGGCGAAGTATGAACCTTTACGGGGATCTGCACACTCCAAGCGGAGGATAGTTTGGATGCACGAGGACTGACGTCCGGTGAAGACGGGGAGGACTTGGCTGCAGAATTGGAGGGGCCGGGAAGTTCCCGAGGGGCGGTGACTGTGGGGTTTCCTCTTTCGTCTTGCAGAGAGTCTGAGAGGCGCATTCTTTTGACCGGCAACGCGGAATTCTCAGTACCTCTCTGCGGACCTGCAGGCAACGGTCTCTTAAGTCCATAAGGATGTTGTTTTAGTTCTCTATCGTGAGTGTGAAAGGCTTTCTCCAACCAGGCCCTTGATGCAGTTAGCGTTTGGCGTGAGCCCATCCGAGAGGGTGACAATATACATACTCGTCCTGCAGCAACGGCTCGATATTCCAACCCCGGAGACCATCGGAGAATCGTTCTTTTTCTTCGGCCGAAGAAAGCTCTAGGTCTAACTTCTGATCGAGCCCTTCCATCTTAGACAAGAGGAGTCTGATCTTGCCACTCGGAGGAAGTCCCCCGGTGGCCTTGGTGACTTTACTCAGAGGGAGCTCAAAGCATTCTGCCGGGTCGTTTTGATTATGCAACAAGATAACCCCTCGCTCAAGGTCCATGAGAAGCTCGACACCATTTCTTTGATCAGCATGCTGCTCAATAGGCCCAAAGCGGGCATAGATGATCCCAAACGACTTTGTAGTGGAGGCTGCTTTATTAGTAGTGTACTTCTGCTGCTTCCCCTTCAATCCGCGCTTAGTTTTGGAGGGAGTAAAGACCGTATGTTGGATATCAGCCGGTGACGATTGCCGGTGCTCTTTCCCCAGGGCTACTTGATTATCAATCTCGCCCTTTCCCGCAACTTTCTTACTCCGGCGCACCTCGGCCGTGACTTGCAACTCGTCCGGACTGTCCTGTGACTCGGATGGGTCTCTAGTCCTCGTAGGCGAAGCCAGGCCGTTTTGACGAGGTGAACGAGCCAGTGCACCTTTACCAGGATTGCGATTCTTGGAGGGCGAAATCTCCACACCCCGGAGGACCTCATGCTTGGGCGCACGCTTCGAGCCGTCGATCCTGGAAAAGCCACCATCATCCGAGGAAGCTCGACGACGCCTCTCAGCCGCGGCATCCTCCGTGAAGCGTTCCTCGCGGGCATCGTCGGGCCGAGAAGTCGGGGCGGGATGTTTCTTGCCGTGCTTAGCATTGCCCTTCCTGTGCTGCTGCTGCTGCTGCTGCTGCGGGGGTTTGACGTTCTTCTCGACACCGCGAAACTCTTCCAGGGCAAATAAGTTATTCCGCGTCTTCCTCAACTTGGCTGATCGGTGGCTCGAGGTGGGAGACATACGTGACGGGTGTGTGGTAGGGGGAGAGGTATCCAGCGCGGGGTGCGCATCGGTCTCCTTGTCGACGAGGCCGAGAATGCTTCCAGACCGTGACGGCTCCGGGGCGGCGCGATGACGGGGACGTTTGGTCGGCCTTTCATACGGGTGAGTCTCGTGGGGACGGATCTCCTTCTTGCTGGCACGGACTGGTCCACTTTGTCGGGCCTTGCCCGATATGCGATCCACGATCTTGAAAGGGGAGTCCTTCACGTCCAAGGAGACAAAAAGGTCAGCAGGGTGATCTCAACCATGCGATCCAGAACGTCAAGGAGAAACAAACTCACCCCTATCTTTTTTCTCTTCGGCATGGTTTGTCCGGGGATTATGGGTACTCCATTGGGGTCATCTGATCTAGATCGCAAGCATGTATCAGCGCTGTACCAAATCCACTCATTGAGCCTTGAGCCCGCGCGTACCGTAAGTTGCTGGGGAAGAGTCTTATCTCGTCTTCTAAAGTTGCTTGATTGTGGTAGTGGGGGCGAATGGGCTTGTCGTCGGGTCTGGTTGTATCTTGCAGCATTAGCCCGTTGTTCAGCATGTGCGGACATACCGAGAACATGTGCGACTGCTTGTACTTACGAACGAACCATCCTCCTCCCCAGATAAAAGAAAAAAAAATTGGGTCTTTGGTTGCTATAAAATCAAAACGTACGGTAGGAAGCCTTCTCAAGACTCAAATCCCGTAGAGAAAATCACAATGATGCAACGGACGTCTTAGTCCGTCAATTGGAGCGGAAAGTCGCATCGGATAGCGGAGGGCAGTGTGGAGGAGGCAGACAAGAAAGCACAGCGCAGCACACCGTAAATGAGTTCCGGCTGGAAGGTGTGCAAGGCGGCGCGGGGGGATTAAAATAGAATGGAAGTCTCAAGGAGCGGGACAACTTCCCAGCAATGGTCATTGCGAGACCGAACGGTTACAAAGAGCTTTCATAACTCTGTTTTTAAAAAAACTGCAGAGCCGCAGGACGAAGAGGGGAGTTTGAATTGACAGTGACAAGAAACGCATCATAATGGGGGAGAGAGGAAAGGCGGTGGGGAGGGGAAGGGAGGGAGTTTCTGCCCACCGCTTTGTGGAACTGCGAACTGAGGCACCGTTTTTTTCTTTTTCCTTTTTTTTTTTTTTTTTTCCTTGTCTTTTTTTCCCTTTCTTCTGCCGTTTTCCTCTGTTTTTTGTTCCTTAATTAGCCTGCTTCCCTCCCTTTATCTCCCCTAATCAACTCCCGCCGGAAGGATGCATTACTGCACCACGGGGCACGGAGCCACTGGCAGCATGGCACTATTATTCCGGTCATCCTGTGTGCACTAGACCAGACTAACCAGTAACCAACCTTAACTTAGTTGAACGCATAAGTCATTCTCTACGCTAAACCGAGCTCCAAGGTACTATTTTCTGTAACTATACAAAGAATGCATCTCAGCCCTAAGTTTCATGTTTTGGCCTTGAAGGCTAGAATAACAACCCATTCAAACATTCCCCAAGAATAGTATACTGAACCAACAAACCCACCAGACCCTCAATCTATGACAGCTCACATCTACGTACTTGTACTTACTCGGTAAGTCGGTCCCCCGTCTGCCACTAACCCTAAACCGCTTGGATGCATGCATCCGAAGTGTTTGGGGGGGAAGGGGAGATCTATCTTATCGCAGATCTTGACCGGGCTTGAAACCAACCCAGTTGTTGCGGATGCACTACCGAGAAATACGGTAGTTGTAGCATAGAATACATGATAAAGTGCGTATTGAATAGACCGGTCTGTATCTTCTTGATTCGCTATGGCTTCGGCTCAAGAGGAGCACTAAGGGAATTCTCTTGACAAAGACTTTAACCTTCGCTGCAGAGGAGCAAGCAGGATATAGCACAGTGATCCTGGAAATAGTCTGCGTCATAGCATGCAGGGCGCAAGTGTGTAAATACTCGAATCTATTCGTACGGAAGACTCAAATCATCAGTAATTCCAGTAGTTACTAACGCATGTCTTCATCCCATCACATTTGACAACCATATCCCACAGTCCACAAACCCCATCCCAGATCATAACATCAGATGGCATAGCGTAGCATAGCATCTCGCGTGACATTCGAAACTAGTGAGAATAGAAGAGAAACAATGCGACACGAACACCCTCCGGACAATAAAAACGTAAGATAGAAAATCAGATCAGACGCAATGTTCGCCCCAAATGCCCCCGATCCCAATTCGTCCCAATGAGTTTTGCGTGGAAAGAAAAAAAAGATTTCCTTTTTTTACTATACAGGACCCATATGACCCAGGCTGGCTGAAAAGAGAGAAAAGAGAAAAGAGAGAGAAGAATAAAGCATGGCGATCAAGGCAAAGCGGCCTTGCCCTTGTGGTCGGACTCCTCGCTAGCCGTCGTCGGGGCTCGTCGTCGATCTCCCCCCAGTTGCTGCTGCTGCTGCTGCTGATGGTGGTGTTGTTGTTGGTTGTTATTGTGGTGATGGTGGTGATGGTGGTGCCCGGTGCTACCAGCGGCCTTATCCTGGCGAGCCTGATCGATCGCCGAGCGTTGAGCGATGCTGTCGTCGTGGCTCTTCCAGACGATGTTGGTGTCGGTGGGGAAGTTGAGTAGACGCTTGATGGTTTCGCTGCAGTCGATCGGGTTAGTCCAAGAACCTTGGGAATTTCGAAACGAACATACCGAATCTTAATGTTCCGTCCCCCATCGATCCGAGTCCAGACATTCAGCACATCCTCCCCACTGCGCACACTCAAGACAGCTCCGCAAACCTCGTCGCCCGCTTCCGCAAACTGATCCCCAACCATAGCCAGGAGCAGGTCCTCCCAGTACCGGTCCGCCACGCCTTTCTTCAACCGCACCACCCACTTGCCACCCTTCTTGTTGGCATCGTCCTCCCAGACAGGACGGATGCCCTTCTTAAAGATGTGGTAATCGGAGACGGTAGGAAGGAGAGATGGTCTCTTGAGGTGCGAGTAGACCGACCAGAAACTCTCCACCGAGGATATCGCGGCGAGGGGGACGGTGGACTTTTCGTAATCGGAATACTTAGGGGTCGGCGGGCGGTACCAAATCACCCATGTGGACTTGAGCGGATGTTCTTTGATCGCGAACGCGGCCTTGGCTTTGGCGCTTTCCGCCGTAAGTTCCTGGTCGACAGGGTTCTCCCGTTTCTCGAACCCAGGAGTCTTGACGTCGGAAGCTCCGGGAGTCTTGGGGGCTCCGAAAGACGCGAAGGCACCGGAGCCCAGGCCGAATGCGGAGGAGGCGTTTGTCGAAGGAGAAGAGACGCCGCCCGATAGAGGCGACAGGGCGTTGAAAGGGTTGGATCGACCACCGTGGGAGCTATCTGGGCCAAACCGTTTCGAGGCGCGGGGAAGTTCAACTCTAGCGCCGTCCGACCCTGTCATCGACAGAGACAACTTGGAAGCGCTGTATGAGAACATATTGTTAGTTCTATTCAATTTTATCTCGACCTCGCCAAGCGGCCAAGGTAAATCACCAAGCGCGAACTCGTAACATACTTAGATCTGCGGGTCCAGAGGTTTGCGTTATCCATGGATGTACTAGCTACTGAGACAGCTCAGAAAAAAACGAGCGGTCACCGGCGGAGGCAGACAGGATCGGGCGGGGCGACGAAATAGTACAGAAGAATAGGAACCCGAGAACACGAAGAGGAGGATCGAACAATGAGGCCAGTATAGACGGAGAAAGGTGTAGGCAGGGTTTAGAAATTAGGTTCAATTAGGTTCAAACTGGGGCGAACGGAGCGGGCAAGAGGGGAAGAACTTTCGGTCCAAAAGAGAGAGGAGAAGAGAAGTCAAGGAAGAATAATCGTGATCGTGATCGTGAACGTGACGAATGGGAAAATTGGGGGGGGGGGGGGTGTGTGTGTGAGGGATGTGATCTGTAGGATTTAGTTTGTTGTTTGGGGAGTAGGAAGATGGGAGGCGAGGGAGGGGTGGGAGGAATAGTGTGGGAAGATCGGAGAAGTGGAAGTGGAAGTGGAAGTAGTGGTGGTGGTGGTGGTAGTGGTGGTGGAAGTTGCAAGTGGAAGTGGAGTGGAAGAAATGCGGAATTGGGAATTAAACCTGCTGGAGAGGAAGAGAAAGAGAGTGGAAGGGAAGAGAGAGAGAGAGCAAAGGCAGAGATCGGAGTGAGCAGTGAAGAACCAGAACGGCAGAGAACAACGACTGGAACCCAAGTCAGTTTTCTGCCGTCAAGCTTCTTCCTGCCTCTCCTAACCAATCAACTCTCTGCCCCGCTGCTTTTCCGCCTCCGTGGTTTTTCCAGCTCCGTCCCGTTCTCTCCGTCCATATAAAATCCTCGACTTCTTCCCGTTCCTTTCCTCTCCCTTTCTTTTTTTTTCTTTTCCATAACAAACCCAAGACCACCAACTCAAATCATCGCTGGTTGCACTATTGTTTGATTCTGTCGAATTATCTACTGCACTGGCGACTCCGATGAGTGTGTCGAGAACGAGCATCAAGACCCCGCATCTAAAACCATCATCACGAGGGCTCTTCTCAGGGCTCCATGATGCGGTGATGACCTGATTGACGGGACATTCCCTTTTTTTTGCATCCAGACTGGAATTGTGGTGGATTCGGCAGGCAGTACTCGTAGTGAACTCTGCTCTATAATGCAAGGGCATCGTAATCGTCTTTTCACGGATTTGGTGCGTCCGTCACTTTTCCTTCTGCTCTCGGACCTTAGGGGTCTCTACCATGATGAAGCTCTTATATCACATACTCTGGTAATCCGAGGTGCTCAACCGCGTGGATTGGCCTGACTTGGCTATGCGCTGGTAGAGTGTGAGGTGAAAAGGCATTTCTGATTGTCGTAATAATCTTACGTCCTGAGCATTGGTTGATGCTTGCAACGTCATGCGGTCGCTTGGTCACTGACAAGGCCCGATCATAGGGCGGTAGCCGACTGTTTGATGCTTAGCAGTTGTTTGATGCTTAGCACCCTACAACACTCTACATAATTCTACACCTCTTGATCTATGTCTCAGATCGACAAATACTCTGCCTTCGAATCTAAGATTTTTGTTTGAATGTCTTCTTTAAATCAGGTAAACAATGCCATTCGCAAGGAGAATCGAGCACCAACCGGTGATGACTGGACGAAACACAAAACTATAACACCCCCTCGAGTCATCTGAAACATGGATAACAAATGCATGCATGGTGTTCCAATTGTGTCGCACAAAATATGATAAAAGGGATTATAATGCTACCTTGGAATTACTGGACGAGTCAACTGGCCCAACCTCTGAATCGTCAGTAGGCCTGGAAGCTTGAAGGACATTCATAAGTACAAGAATATCGAAATCATGTCATCAGCAAAGGGTCAAAGTACTTCGTAGCTACCCCAACCCAGCAAATCGTTAAAAATAGATGCAGCAACCTATTACTCGGCAGGCTGTGCGGAGTCTGACTGATGTTCGGAGCCAGCCTTGATGCGCTTGGCGTCCCTGTCACTTTGGGGTGCCAGAGGAGCCACCTTGCGCTTCTCTTTATCCCTCTGGTACTCTGCCCGGCGTTCTTTGTCCTTCTCTCTGCGGAGGGCCTTCGACTCAAACTCGTGCCAATCACCCTCAATGTTCTCGAGCCTAAAAACCATCAGTTAGGTTTCAATATTAAATCAAGCCAAGGCACGAAGACTTACTCGATAGCTTGCTGAGGCCGTGGCTCCTCCGTGGTGAAGTATGGGTGCGCCAATATCTGCCCAGTGGTGGGTCGTTTCGCAGGGTCATACTGGAAGACATGAGATATAAGATCGAGAGCTGCTGGCGAGAGGATTTCGCCGTAGACCTCCTCAAAGATCCTCTTCTTCCGCTCCGTCGGGCGCATTAGCTCGAACCAAGGCATCTCAATCAAATCTGGCCATTCGGCGCGGTTCGGGGTGCCAAGGCAATTGTAGAGCTTGTCGAGTTGACTTATCTCCCCTCCCTCACCCGGGAAAACAGCCTTCTTCGTGAACATTTCAACATATACGCAAGCCGCACTCCAGACATCAACAGCGGGGCCGTACCGAGTCTCACCAAGTAGTAGCTCCGGTGGTCGGTACCAGATGGTGATGACACGGTTCGTATAATCTAGCTGGCGACTTTTGGAGAAGAATCGTGCTAAGCCAAAATCGGCATACTTCAGCTGCCCTCGGTTGCTGATCAGGATGTTAGCAGCCTTGATATCACGGTGCATGACGCCTCGGTGGTGGAGATAATCTAAGCCTTCAAACATCTGCTTGGCGAGGTCCTTCTTGTGCGCTTCTGTTAGAGTGAAGGTCGGGTGGTTGATCAAACCAGTCAGGTCGTGCGAGAGGTATTCAAACACCATGAAACACTCATTCCTCTCCACCATGACTTCTAATAAGCTGACAACGTTGTTATTGCGAAGATGTTGAAGCAGCTTGATTTCTCGAACGGCGGTCACAGGGAAGCCATCCTTCTCACCCTCCATTCTGATCTTTTTGAGCGCAACTTTACGCTGGGTGTACACATGAATCGCCTTGAAAACCTTGCCGTAAGTGCCTGCACCAATGACCGATTCATTACCTGGTTTTCGGTAGTATACAGAATCCGAATTTGCGAATTCCTCAGAAAGAACGGGGCGTGGTTTTATGCGGGTCATAATCTTGATTTGCTTTCTCGGCTCCGGAGAGCGCTCGGGACGGCGATCAGGGCGGAAATCCTGTTTCCGATCTCCTCGAGGTCTTTCGGTGCGAGGAGAATCGAATCGGCGGTCGTCCCGTCTACCCTCACGCATACTTCGGGGCTCTCGGGGCCCACGAGGTTCTCGCGTGTCGCGATAATTGCGGGAGTCTCGGAAGTCTCTTCTGTCATTTCGTGCACGGTCACGCTCTCGCTCACGCCGGTCACGTTCGCGTTCGCGGTCACGCTCACGGTCGCGGTCGCGGTCGCGGCGATCAAAGCGAGGCTCGGATTTGAACTTTGGCGGTGGGCCGACCGGCATCCTGTTGCGTGAAGGTGGCTCGGCGGCACGCTGAGGTGGCTCTCGAGCTAGCATCCTCTGAGCTAGGTCGGGAACCGGCTTGGGAGCTGGGGCAGGAGCAGTCTTGGCCTTGAAGGCGAAACTTATTTTGCCTCCCTTGTTTGGAGTAGCAGAAGCAGCAGATGGTTGCATACCCGGGGGCGGATTTCTTTGAGAATCACCATTGTCGGGATCGGCTCTAGACCTGTCGATATTTGCTCGTGAATCCTGTCGTGAACGTCCATATTGATCACTATCGTCTTTGGCACCTGATCTTGCCCGATCACCCGCTGGTGGAGGTGAGGGACTGTGTGACGGCCCATACAGTTCATTAGGGTTTGACGGGTCCGCTTGACCTCGCGAACTCGGTGTATTCCAGTGAGATTTGTTGAAATTACCTCTTTGCCGAGGAGAAGGCCCACCTATGTTGCCATGATGGTTCCCCCGATATCCCGAGTTCTCATCGCGGTAAGTTGGACCTGGGGATGGTGATGAACCACGATTATGTGAAGAATGGTGTGGTTGCTGATACTGATTCGGCGAGTCCCCCGTGGCGTATTTATCTTGCCGTTGTGGTGAAGAGCGGCTGGTTAAACACCGTGGTTAGATTTGCCTTGTAGAGAAGAAAATCTCAAAAGCCGACTTACACGTGGGAATTCTGGTACGATGATTCTTGTCCGGGCCAGTCACTCCGGTCCTTCGAGTAAGGGGATGTGGACTCGGCGTGGGATTTGGGAGATGCCGTATGATGTGATGATCTTGAGACATGGGAACTATCTCCTGATGGCCGAAAATTTCTCGAATGCTGGTCATTAGAAGCATCAGACACACGTCTTCCTCGAGTTATATTACGCGTGGCTTCTCCCTTGGATATTTCCCCGGCGGGATTAATAGCAAAAACTGACGGCTCTCGGCGAGGAGAGGAAGACTTGTGTGAATCGCCTCCCGAAGGTCGAGTCAATCTCGTCGAATCCATCATGGGCTCACCTATTGAGTTCCGATGTGAGTCTCCGGAGTATCTCGAAGCCACAGATTGAGCAGAATGACGGGATAGTGAGCGGTAGCGGCGTTCGCCCTGGGGCTCGTCTTCGAAGGACGGGCTGTGTGGGCGTCGAGAAGGATGAGAGTATGGCTTTCCTCCGCGGACTGGCGACCTCGAGCGTCTCGAGTGTGGGGACACAGGGCGGCCTCCTCCGGCCTTGCGGCGTTCCCTTCCTCGTCGTGACCCGGGAGAAGGCCTCCGGCCACCTCTACTGCGTCCTGAAAAACGGCCTCGCCTGTTCGGTGGATATCCACGGTCCAGCTCGTCGTTGGGGTTGAAAGAAGGTCGACGATGTCCTGGCCGGTTGGAGTGTGAATGAAACCCACCGGGGGACGGGCTCCGTGTTCTCTTACGTTTCGAAGGTGGTGGTGCAGATGGAGAGTCGTTTCGTCGAAGGCCTTTGCCGGCAGGTCTATCCGTGTCTACCGACCGGTGCGCTTGCGAATCAGGACGAGTCGCGGGATTGGGTGATCGGTGACGAGCTGACTTCTGGCCAGGGTAGGTGTCAGGGGGCGGAAGACCGGATGAGCCACGACGAGAGATAGGAGGTGAAAACTCGCGGTGCGGACGTGAATCGTCGTAAGAAAGATGGGAACGCGGAGGCGGCGACCGTAGCGAATAATCAGGTCTGCCCTCCTTAGGGCGGCGGCGAGGCTCCCGATCGCGAAATTTATCCCTGCCCCGATCACGATAGGAACCTCGAGGTCGATGATTCCGTTCCCGATCTCTGTGATCTCCAGTGTCGTTGGAGGCTTTCCACTCGTCTCTCAACACCGGACTCCTGCAGGACCCAGCCATGTAAGCTGCTTCAGCTGCATCTAGTTCCAAGCAGAAGAGAAGGGAGAGAGGCGGCAGGGATCAAGACGACCGACCCGCTAGAGAAAGAGACGGTTCGCATGTAGATGTCAGCGCGAGAGAAAGTCCGGTGGAGCCTAGTTAGTGTACTGTATCTTGTCTAGGCGATTCAGGTTTGGGATTGGGTTGGGGGGGGGGGGGGTGGGTGTGGGTGTGGGTGGGCGTGTGCCGGCCGCGTTTCTCAGAGAGGATTCCTTCAGTGCTGGGGATTGGGTGGTGCGGAAGACTGGTTTTTCCGGGTGAGATCGATAGACTCGATGGCGGTGGTAGATTGTTGAGGATCAGACGAAAAGCAAAGGCGGACTGTCAAGAAAAAGAGAAGAAAAGTTAATAGCCGTGGAGACAATACTTTCCATAGTGAAGAAGGCAATAGAAAGGGTCTCGTTAACTCAAGGACAGGAAAGGGAAGGGAATGGAAGGGATAGACGTACCTTTCCGTTCCTGTTTTGTATGCTATCCGCTTGAATAGAGTGAATTCACAGCGAAAGGATAAGAGGGGGATGTGGTGTGGAATTCCTCTTTAAGGCGGGCTACCAGTACGAAGAACACCACCCGTTGATGGAAGTGTGGTGCTGGATGGAGTTCTACTTATCGGCGGGAAGTGACTGGCAAATGACTGGACTTCTCTTCTTTAATAGTGAAGAGTCAGTCAGTCGACCGAGTCAAAGCGGGCGACTTTCTTGGGCGAGCCAGAATCCCATGTCCCGCCAGTCCCAGTATTGCTGCGTGGCTCTTACTACGATAGTGAGTTGCTCTCACGAGATGATGGGCACTTCACCCACCACATGATGAGCGGGCAAGCAGAGGGTTGCCCCCGAGCAATCGAAACTTGATCTCCAGTTCCTCGCACCGGGGCTGGGACCGACTTGCGATGTCGAAATGCCCCTAAGTCGGATTGCCGCCGAATGGGAAGCGCTTCAAGTCAGCCTGGCAGAGCCCCCGACTTCTTCCATGGCTATTTTGCCTGGGTGCTGTGCTTGATGCGATTATGCAACCAAGACTTTTTTTTTCTTTTGCACTTGTCGTGATGCAGACAGAGCTGGTCTTGGGTCGCTGATTCAGAGCTGCGGCTCATTGTCGGTCGTTCTGCTGCCAATCCTTTATGTCCTTCCCCGCCTCTTCACCAAATAGCTTGTCCACGCGCCACCTGTTGTGCGAAGCACATTCCCTCGGTGTCAAAAAAGAGGAACCTATCTACAAGAACCATATATACCCAAGCGCAAATGATGTGGATCAACAGAGGAATCAATCCGACCGAAGTGAGCCATTGCAGCATTGCACAAGGTCGATTTTCTGCAATACTCAGTCGCTAGATCAACCAGGTCGACTTAGCAAGGCAGCATTCGATAAATATTGAGGGGAGCGAGCCGGTAAAAGCACCACACGGTTCGGGATAACGAAGATTGTTGGCCGTCTCAATCATCCGCTGTTATACTTGCTCGGTTGACTGTCCCGAGGAAGCTGCCGGTGTATACAACCGTTCAGCGGCGAATAGACATAGCGCGATCCCAGCTTGGAAGGGCCCGAGCCATCTTCGAGCAAAAAAGCACGGTTATGATAGATCAAAGGACAAACTCCCCGATATTTACTCGAAGATTCACCAATGTGCCATATGTGAGACTGAGCTTCGCATGAAGCGAGCATCAGCTCGAGGCGGGAAACAAACGACTGAGATCTACCGAAATCACACGTAGAATCCAGGAATCGGACGATAGGCAAATACTCGTCCAGCCTTGGGATGGCTGGGCCTATCTGAAATCAAGGCAATACGTACCCAGACACCCATGCTAGGATGGGGTGACATCGGAACAACCCAGTCCCTCAGCTTGAGGGATCAACACTTGCCAGTCTGTCACACTGTTGGCTGGCAACGCGCAGGAAGTCTATAGCGCACACAAGTTTAAGTGAATGTTCGCTATACTAAGCTGGTCGTAGAGATCATCAGGGAATTTTGAGTCGGCAGGGGGTCGAAATGCTGTCGGCCTTGATGAGCAAGTGGGCGGTCGGGATGCGGAAGAACATTGGGTTTCCAGCTCAGGCAGGGTTCACTGTCAAGGAGCGAATGAACATGGCGGAGATCGACTCGAGAGATCCCAGAGAGCACTAGGAGAACCTCAAAAGACAGAATCAACATCTAAGAACACTATCTCGGCACCTTCGTCGCTGAATAGATGACAAGAGGCTGGTCTGTTGGGGGGGGCAGACTGCGGGCAGACTGCGGGCAGACTGGTGTGTCTTGTTGACTTGATAACAGGTCAAGGGTTGTCGTAAGCCGGAAACCACGGGGGGAGAAGTTCAACCCGCTCACCGATCACGTGCACGGGGCTCGGCAGCCGGATTTAGTGAAGTCCGTGTTTGACGGGTTTGTCTGGATGCCCACTAACTAGTTCACTACCTACTACCTACAGTGCTTCTACGAGATATCATGGATCGACTTCGCTACAATTCTATGTGGTTGTTGAAAGTGCAGACATAGTGTGCTTATTTGCTCAGGTACAAGGTCACTTGATTGGCAATGATGCACCAAATCGATCATAGCCAGATGCTACTCCTAGTTTACCAATGATCTCCTTCGCAGTCGCTCAACCCACACACTGACACTAAAACCTCCTGCAACAAATATAGATTGGCGAGTGCCATCAATAATCTCGCAAGACGAATTCCCTGTATCATGTCAAACCCGTTCTTTGACTGCCTTTCTGTGCTGGTTACGTGGCTCTTTCATTCAAGGCTTTGACGGCACACTATGCAGAAGACAATTCCGGCCGTGATCAAACGGAGATAGCCCGTCTCTCTATTATTGAGACCTCGGAGAGATATAACATCCATCGGACATCGGACCAGAGTTAAGCTATTCCGAAGCTGCTTGGTGACTAAGAAAATATGCTTGACAAGGAAGGCCGTGTTTCATGTTGAAGAAGTAGCAGCGCCCTACGATGGAAAGTCGTCGTCATCTTATCCACTCTCCGTTTCTAGTCGTGCAGGAGCGGAGGTGGAGCATCAGAAACACAAGAAGAAATGGTAAATTAAGCTTACCTCCAGCTCCAATGATATTCCTTGGCGTACGATAAGATCGAACGGTTCCTGGCTCCCGTTTTGCTGCTGCGGAGACTTTCCTCTTCCCAGCGATTTTTCGCAGATCAGCTTCGAGAAGGCCGGCTAGGCCGTCAGACAATGTGGTGGATAAAGCACTAGCATAAGGTTGTTGAAAGTTGATACACCAGGATGGGTCTTCTTCGAGTCCGTGCAACATCGACACAGACTCATGCGTCGTCGTGATGTGGATCTATTCTAGAATCACACTTTATTTGGTTTATTCTTTCTTAGGAAGTCAGGAGGCTTCATCTGAGGTATAAAATGTGCCATCCTCCCGTTGCTACCAGCATGAACACATACACATTCCATTCTTTTATTCCATACATTCCTTCGTCCTTCATTCGACTCCATTGCAATGAAGTCTGCTGCGCCTCTCCTTACCGTGGCCACGCTGGCAGCGGCCAAAAGGAACTGCAGTGTCGAGAGCATTGCCCCGTTCCTGCCCGAAAACTCTACTGTTTTCTATGCGGATCATTATGTCAAAGGAGCCAACTTCACTCCTCCCATCAAGTACAACTATGGGTTGACTTCTCTTCCCACGGGGAACAACCCCTATGAGGTCTCTGTCGATAGCTGTGTTGCCCAGGCCAACATCACCCTGCCCAACAACACTCAGCACAGCGTCGGTATCGTGCTTCCTGATGAGTGGAACGGTCGGTTCATGGCCGTTGGTAACGGCGAATTCTCGGGATCGGTGGGATGGTCTTCCATTATGAACACCGCCTGGTATGGCTTCGCCAGTATCTCCACAGATACCGGCCACGAAGGCAACAACGGCAGCTTCGGGTACCACAATGAAGCTGCTCTGACCAATTGGGGCTACCGTGCCCTCCACGACGCTGTTGTCAACGGAAAGCAAGTGACGGAGGGATACTACGGTCACAACATCTCCTACAGCTACTACCGTGGATGCTCCGCTGGTGGCAAGCAGGGCATGAAGGAGGTCCAGATGTTCCCCGATGACTTCGATGGTGTCATTGCGGGAGCACCAGCCTGGTGGACCGACCACCAACAGCTGTGGAACGTGCTCACTGCCATCTGGAATCTTCCAGAGACGGCCGACTACCACGTCACCGATGCACAGATGACGGCGGTGCAGGCTGAGATGCTGAAGCAGTGTGACCCCCAGGATGGGCTGAAGGACAGCATCCTCCAGAACCCCTTCGGCTGTGTCTTCGATCCTGTCCCAGTGATGTGCAATGCCACTTCCTCCAACGACACCTGTGTGACGCCCGCCCAGCTCACCACCGTCAACAAGCTGTTCAACCCCTGGGTCGAAGCCAATGACACCTTCATCTTCCCTGGATACACGCTGGGTACCGAGGTTGGCGCCCCTACTCTGGACGACGACTTCGTCACCTACATCCAGTACATGCTCCAGATCGGTGGAGACTGGACCTGGGAAGACTGGAACCCCGATCTCGTCGCTCTCTCTGAGAAGCTGAACCCGGGCAATGCCACCGCCGACGACTTCGACATTTCCCCTTTCTACAAGAAGGGCGGCAAGCTCCTTCACTACCACGGCTACTCCGACCCGTCGATCGCGTCCAAGTCCTCCCTGTACCTCTACAACCATTACCAGGAGGCTCTCCGGCCCCAGGGCATCCCCGTCGATGACTTCTACCGTTTCTTCTTCGTCCCCGGCATGGAGCACTGCACCAGCACCCCCAGCGACCAAGACGCCCCATACTACATGAACGGAGACAGCCAGGCTGGCTCCCTGTCCGGCACCATCTTCGGCGTGCCCGGCTTCAACGACAGCAAGCACGATCTCATCCTCGCCATGGTGGACTGGGTGGAGAACGACAACGCCCCCGACTACCTGATCCCCACCAAGTACAAGAACGACGTTGTTGCCGATGGTGTCGACAAGCAGCGCCCGATCTGCCCGTGGCCCAGCCTGGCCAAGTACAAGGGCCAGGGCGATGTCGACAAGGCCGAGAACTGGGAGTGCGGTACTCTGTATTAAGCCTGGAGGTCTGCCTCGTCATGTACAATAACTCTTCCGTTCATGTATACTAGTTTTTCCTGTGGTGTGATGTGTCGAATAGCATACTGCAGGCCTACCTTTTAGGATGTTCCTCAGTGAGCGAAGGATATTAAAGTATCAGATCTTCCATCTCAGATCCTGTTGAAATCTCGTATGAACAGATGTACAGTCCCAGTTTCTTGAAGTATCACCGCATCAGTAGATGTGCCATGCGTTTCATCATGCATTTCCTCATCCAACATCCATTCATAAACCCTTTTCACCATGCATTTCCCCATCCAACTCCACCACCCATCCACACCAGAAACCCCCTATCGAAAAAGAAAAACAAAGAACCCCATTATGGAAAAAAAACCACCATCATCGAAAAAACCTCCCAATCTTCGAAAAATAAAATCCCCGGCTTATCAACGATCCAACCTCACAACCTCCATCCAATCGACCTGGCTCCTGAGCGTCGCCAACCGCATCTGCTCATCCCAAGTGACCCTCTGGCCCGCGACACCGGGGGTCTCGAACTGCTCGCGCCTGCCCTCGGCAAACACCAGCTTGTACATCTTCTGCAGGTCCAAGCCGCGGTGCAGGATCTCGCGCATGATCCACTCGTCGGGGCGCAGCAGCTTGATTTTGGTGGGGGCGTTCTTCCTTCCGTAGTATTCGTACTGCAGGGCGCCGGGTTCTTCTTCGGTTGGGTTTGGGGTGGTGGTGGTGGTGGGTGTAGCGGGTCCAGGGATTCCATCGCCGATAGCTTCATCTTTCTCTTCTTTATCAGCAGCAGCAGCAGCAGCATCAGACGAAGAGCTAATCCCCATCCATCTCCGCAACTCCCGCTCAACCTCCGCCCCCATGTCATCCCCCCATACCTTTCCCACAAGATAATCCGCCAACCCTGCCAACGAGCGCTGCGCAAGACACAATTGCCGCATGACTGTACACCGCTTCACCCCCTTCACCTCAGCCAGAAACGCATCGACCTGAACCATGAGAAACACGCCCAGGAACAGATCTAGATCCGACCACAGATTGCGGTTGCGGACCGTCCACTCCCGCCGGTGGTTGTCGGGGACGTCCATCAGGAACCAGATCTTGCGGAGGACGAGGGCCGTGCCGGCGGGGAGGAAGATGTGGGCTGTCTGGAGGGTGGTGAGGATGCGGTTGATGGTGGTGGTGCGCGAGGTGAGCATTAGGAGGTAGGTTATTTTGGGGTCCGGGGGTTGGGGTTGGGGTTGGGTGTAGAGGCGTGGGTAGCAGATGAGGGGGAAGGTGTCTGATATGTTTGGTGGGTGGGTGGTGGCGTTGAGGTGGTGGAGGTGGTGGGTTGTGATTGTGGGGAGGTTGTGGTGCAGGGTTTGGTGGAGGGGGGGCGAGGTGGTGAGGAGGGTTAGGATGTCCTCTGGGTGCAGGAGGTCGGTGATCATTACGGTGAGTTCGGGGTGGGTAGAGAGGGCGGCTAGGAGGTCGAAGTTGTTGTGCGGGATGGTGAGGGCGATGGTGGAGGGGCGGCGGAACGCTTCCTCTGTGGTTTGTTCTTGGGCCCAGAGTATGTTGGTGTTGGTGTTGTTGTTGTTGCTATCTGGGGCTGAGATGTTGGGCTGGAGACGGGGTGGATGAGCGGCTGGGTTGGTGTCATTCTCGGATTTGACCACCGCTGATGCTGGTGCTTGAGACTCAGGCGTAGAGGTGTCCAGGCTGTTCTGGTCCCGGGTACGCCGTGTGACAGAGCGTGTGAGATAGCGAGAATTTGCTGGACGCTGCGGGGTCTGAGGTTGAGGTTGAGGTTCATTGTTGGCAGCCGCAGACTTGTCGTCTTCAGACTTAGGCTCGGGGTCCTGGTTCACAGGATGACTGTGTAGTGCAGTGTCCCTGGTCGCCGGTCCATTAACAGATCCAGAACCCCCGCGTGGCACGATCCGGAGAGGCTGCAGTGGTCCGCTGAACTGCGCAGCTGGGATCCTAGGCACGGCGACAGCGTCGTTTCTGATCTGCATTACAACAGGAGCTGAAGGGTTGTTCACCATCGCCTGAGGACGGATGGGTGCGATCTCCTCTGGCTGTACGCCCGCGATCATCTGCTGCCGGATCAGATACTTCTGCAGCGACATACCAGGCTGGGAGTCTGCGGTGCTTTGCTCTTGATGAGAAGAGACTGCAGCTGAGCCATTAACATCGGTGGTTGAATTGGCGGTTCGACCCGAGGCATCATGAGGGGCGGTGTTGGTCTGCACGTCATGTTGAATTGATCCATTGTGTCCCGGATTGCGGCTGCCCGACGATACATGGCGCGAGTCAGCGGGTCTGGGGTTTCTCGCAGGCAAGAAGCGTGGAGGCAAGCGATTCGCGCGGTCTCGAGCAGCACCTGGGACTCTACCGAGCCGGGATGTCTGCTCGCGATCCAGGCGGCTGCCACGCGGTGGGAAGCGCTGCATGATGTTCTGCCGCGCAATTTCGGCTCTGCCAGGGGGTCTGTTGTTCATAACATGGCGCAGAATCATCAAGCGTGTGATTTGACGCTGTTCCTGGTCGTGAGCATACTGCGGGGAGCCCTCTTCGTGGAACGGGGGGATGTTTGCTCGCAGCCCAGGAATGCTGTCCTGCGTGGCAGTACGAGATGTGCTTAGATGAGGCTGTTGATGAAACAAGACCACTGGAATAGGAGGGTTGATCACTCGATTATTAGAGGTACCGATTGGCTCGAGTCTATGAGCAGCGCTCACAGGAGGACGAGGTCGACTCTGGGGGGGAGAGGGTGGCGGCATATCCACATCGTGGCTGCGCAAAGTCTGCATATCGTCATGCTGCTGACTGTGCTCGGTATCTTCATGGCTGTTCACCCCGTGATTATTGCTCGCAGCTCCCTGGACGTCGCGTGGGGTGGCTGTGACGCTTCGGCTCGCCCACAGAAGAAGCAAGCCTTCGGCGGCTGCCAGTTCGTCGGGGGTATACGTCCTTGCCATGATGACAGCGAGGTTGCTTTTCTGATGCTGTCAGCAGGAAGGCCGTAGAACGTCTTATGTCTACTTGTAAACAAAGTCAGTGCTGTGTCAACATATGTTGGAGAAAGAATATAATTCTCACTCAACAAGACACTTACCTCGCTCCAAATCGAGTCAGGACAGATGGAGGATTCTTATCAAGCAGCCGCAGGATTAAGACAGATGTGCGTTGAGGCTTTTCACACTTGCTTGGATGATAATCGCAGAAATGATGGATAGAAAGTGGGAGAGGAAGATGAGTTGTTCATGGATGGTGAGAGTTGAAGGAGAAACGAACAACATAGCAACTGATATACCCCACCCAGGCCAGCCTGCTGATGCAAAATTCACTACAGTCAATCATTCACTGCGAGACTCAGAGTGAGACCGAATGTAGGCAAAGCCACACCAATTAGGCATGTTCATTCACTGGTGAGGTTGCTCCTTATAATGCGAAGCATTCATGATAGTTTCCTTCAGTTTCAGTCTTCTCAATTATTCAGTATCCCTATAGTTCGGATCTCGGATCTTGATTAGATACAGGAATTGTGTGTTACTTCTACAGGCTGTCCTAAACAGGGATACACAGATACGGCGGAGGTGTGTGTTGTAACTGTCGAAATGTATACGGACTTGCGCCGATGTCCGAGCACTTAAGAACAAGCTGACCAGGGAACTTGATCATCGGACTTTCACAGAGTCGGACAGCATTTGGTGTTTACAAGGAAAAAGAACGATAGAAGTAACTAGCTAGCCTGCAAAACTATGTCTACAGACAGACCCGAGCATGTCCACAAAAAAGAGACATAGCCTTGAAGTCAAGCTAACGGTATTTTTGAGGCCAATGAGATGTCACCTAAAGCTTGGAAGAAGCTCATGAGATGTCCTTTTCATGAAGTAACCAGAAGGCACTATCCAAATCGACCATTTCAAAATAAATACATTTGATCAGATGCATTCGACTTCCAATGTACATGAAAATTTTCGATCGTTTGTTCGCCGTTCTCCGAATTTGACCACCCCAGCCGTACCATAATGTCCTGATATCAGGTTGAGAAGATATTAGTAAAATATGTTGAATCATCCAAATCACAGCCCCACGAGGTTCTCCGCGCTGCAGAATGTTGAGGGAGCAGCGTGTAATCTTGTTGTTTGTTGATCGAATGTTTTGCACAAAATCCCCAAAAGCGATGGCAAGAGCGTTGGGAGAAATGTGGCTTCTTCCTGGTCAGTCGTCGTGACGATGCCAAGAATCTATGCAAAAGTGAAAGGCAACATGCGACTCTTCCGTGCCACAATCACCAAAAGAAAGAATGCCAGCACGGAAACCCAATGAATGACCTGTTGAAAGGTATAAACCGCCGTAACTCCTTAAATCATGAAACCATCCAGTGTTAAAACGAGAGGGGTAACAAGTGCGTCATAAAGGAAAGCTGAGAGGGCATAAGAGACATTATCTTCGGTTCAAGAGGTTGAGGAACTCCTCGCGAGTCTTGGCGCTGGAACGCATGCAGCCTAGCATGCAGCTAGTGGTCGTGGTGCTGCTAGTCTTCTGCACGCCACGCATGACCATGCATAGATGGGCGGATTCCATGACGACTCCGACACCGCGGGGCTTGAGGACCTCAGAGATGGCCAGAGCAACCTGTTTGGTCAGACGTTCTTGCACTTGTAGACGACGGGAGAACATCTCTGCCAGACGAGCCAGCTTAGAGAGACCAAGCACGCGACGGTCGGGGATGTAGCCAATGTGCATCTGTTCGGGATCCTAGTCAGCATTGCGACCTTTGTGCACTTTAATGGTCGATCATCATACCTTGCCCATGAAGGGAACCATGTGGTGCTCGCACAGCGAGAACACCTCGATATCCTTGACGATAACCAGCTCATCGTGATCTTCATGGAAAACAGCACCGTTGACGAGATCCCGAACATTCTCCTCGTATCCCTTTGTGAAGTAAAGCATAGCCTTGGCGTATCTCTCGGGCGTCTCCCGCAGTCCTTCTCTCTCCGGGTCTTCTCCGACGCATTCCAGAATAGTTCTCACAGCACCGGCCAGCTTCTTGATGCGCTCTTCGTTCTCCTCGGGGGTTGACTCCAGGCGCGCCCGGGTACCGGGGCCTACAGCAGAAGTGGATTAGAAAGACTCCTCCCTGATGGATACATCAATACTCACAAGGCCAGCTCAATCCATCAAAGTCAATGGGAGGGAAAAGGGTGTAAGGGCTGGCTGGTCGGCTTTCATTGGCAGGCGGGGTCAAGGCACCGGCCTCATCCCTGGCATCACGAGCAGGATCCCTCAGGGTAGGCCTGCGAGCTATCAGCAAGAGAATGACCGCAAACAAATGGATAGATGGCCTACCTGGCGACGACAGAGCCGGAAGGAGTATCGTCCTGGTACTGACTGGAATCTCCGACAGGGCGGATGTTTTCAGGCAAGTCGGCGAATTCCACAGGAACGCGGGGAGTGAAGGACGAACGAATGGAGGAATTGAGACTTTCGCGCTCACGAGCATCGCGGGAGCCCAGAGACAGATGAAGGGGAGAACCGCCGTTCAGCATGTGGGAGGGAATGGCGGACTTGGGCTTGGGGCCGTGGGGAGGGGAGGTTCCGGAGGCCATGACTCAAACCAGAGGGAGGGGAGAAGTGGTGGGAGTGGGATGTATGAGGGGGTAATGGAGGTATATGTGTGGAGGAGCTTAGCTATGGGCAACACGTCCCTGATCGATGGTGATGAAGAGCGCAAGCGAAGTTCACCAATTTCGACACACAGCAAGACAGACTTACAATTAATGAACTTCTTGTATTTTTTTTACTCCGATGAAGGATGAGAAAAGGAAAAAATTAAGGCTCGCCGCGCTGAAGGGCGTTACCTTTTCGGAGC